ATAATTTAAGGAAATACTATTTTGGTATTTTACTATTTTCTAAATCCTCAATTCCTTACCCATCTTTGACAAAAAAAAAATCACCATTACTTATGCGTTTCTTTCTTCTCTAGTCTGTGACAGCTGTCTACCTTCCATTCTATTCCAATCGAGTTTTTTTTTTTTTACTTTCCCTTCTTCACTTTTCCTTTATGTTTCACTCTCCTTTGCACTTCGTATTCCTTCCCCACCAACTATTCCAGAGCTTTCTTCAATGGTGGATTTGCCCAACTCAACAAAAATCACCCTCTCTTCATTAATTAAGCTGAGAATCCAGCATCCCTGGTCGCCGCCTCCGTCCTCACGGTTCCAATTTCAATTTATGGCGTCGCTCAATGATATGATTTTGGCGGAGATGAAAGGGAATAATGGCAGGAGGCGGAGAAGGGATTGCATTTGATTTGAGATGGCAACACAGCCGCCAACTGGGACGAAATTCAAAGCGTCGATGAACCACTGGCCGACTTGCTGGTAGCGCCACCGCGGCAGAGGCGGTCTTCCTCGACCATCGTGTGCACGAGATCATCGTCTTTTGTGACGGAGATTATGGCGTCGAGATCTTCTTCATCTTCTCACCTCCTCTCCTCTGTGATTTCTCCATAGGCCTGTCTGTGGGAGCGACCAGCGAGGCTTCAAGAAGAATCGGCTGACGGTCAACGGTCGGAAAAGACGAATGACGAACAACAGGGGAGAAGGAATTGAAGAACCGCCGGCTGGATCAAAACCGGCCGGTATTTCGCGAAAGGTCGGTTCAATGGAAAATACCGACCGGCACTCTTATTTCTCGGAATATCAGCTACCGTATCGGGACTTGCCCGGTTTCCGGTTTTCCCGGTTCTACCGGCCGGTGCGGCACGGTAAAGCAGTCCTTGGTTGCAGGGGTAAGTGGATAAAGGTTTTAGGTGACCTGGGGTGGGCGGAGAGCCCAAGGTGGTTGAGGTGAACCGGGGTGGTTGACCACGAAGTGACCGAGGTGACTGGACGTAATTGACACAGGGGTGGCCGGAGTGACCCCAAGCTAACCCCCAAGGTGACCTAGAGTGATTGACATCAGGTGGCCGGAGTGACCCCGGGGTGGGCTAGGTGACCCAAGGTAATTGACCCCGGGGTGGCCTGAGTGACCCCAAGGTGACCCAAGGTAATTGACCCCAGGGTGGCCGGAGTGACCCCAAGGTGATTGACCCCAGGGTGGGCCAGGTGACCCGTGGCAATTGACCCCAGGGTGACCGGAGTGACCCAAGGTAACCTAGGGTGATTGACCCCGGGTAGCCAAAGTGACCTTAAGGTGGGCTAGGTGACCCGAGGTAATTGACCCCAGGGTGGAATGAGTAACCCCAAAGTGACCCGAGGTGATTGACCCTGACGGGCCAGAGAGACTTCGGGGTGGCCGGAGTGACCCCAAGGTGACCCAGGGTGATTGACCCCGGGTGGCCAAAGTGACCTTGGGGTGGGCTAGGTGATCCGAAGTAATTGACCCCGGGGTGGCAGGAATGACTCGAGGTGATTGACCCCGACGAGCCAGAGAGACCTCGGGGTGGCCGAAGTGACCCCAAGGTGACCTAGGGGTGGCTAGAGTGAGCTTAGGGTGGGCTAGATGACCCGAGGTAATTGACCTCGTGGTAGCCGGAGTGACCCCAAGGTAACCTAGGGTGATTGATCCCGGGTGGCCAAAGTGACGTTTGGGTGGTCTAGGTGACCCGAGGTAATTGACCTCGGGGTGGTCTAAGTGACCCCAAGGTAACCTAGGGTGATTGATCTCGGCTGGCCAGAGTGACCGAGGTGATTAACCCCAAGGTAGCCGGAGTGACCCCACGGTGACCCGAGGTGGTGGTCCCTGGGGTGGAGTGACCCCGAGGTAGGATTGGTGACCCGAGGTGATCCCCCATGGGGTGGCCAGAGTGACCCCAAGGTGACCCAGAGTGATTGGCCCTAAGGTGACCCAGAGGTGATCCTCCACCAGAAGTAGATGCATCATGTCTACCTACTTCCTCTCTTGGCCAATCCATCTCGTTGTGAATTCTTGTTGTTCGTGGCTGCCCCGTCTTCCTAATCATGTGCATGTTAGGATGGAGAGTAGAGCCATTGTGCTTCTTCCACCCCTTAGGTTCACCAAGAGGTGTGAAACTTGTCCCATAACAAGCCAATACAGTTTCCAGCTTATAGATGTCGTTTACAAACCTATACGGGTTAGCCCTCATTCGGTTGCAAGCTACAATGGCATGAGAGCAAGGAATTTTATTTCCTTGGAATTTGCACAAGTGCAAAATCCCACTCGATTGTGGTCATCAAAATGCACTGTGAGTGTGTTCGAAACCCATCATGTTGAAATTGTTGGGAGTATTTTGAACTATATAAATGCCTGACGTCGATCAACCCCCATCACGGAATGTCCAACGGCCTTTTGTGCCCACGGCTTCATCACATCTTCACATGGGTTTGTGTAATGTGACTTCCCACTTCTGATTTGTGCCTCTGTCTCCAACCTCATCTTATCGAATTTCTCCAATAATCGCCAATAAGTATGTTCCACAAGAGAAGCTATAGGAAGTGAACGAATACCTTTGAAAACACCATTGATGCTCTCTGCCATGTTGGTCGTCAGCATAGACCATCGACGCCCACCATTATAGTTATCATTTGCTAAGCTCCAACGAAGTTAATTTTGGTCCACCCAGTTATCACAAGAAATATTTCTTTCAGCGGCCATCTTCTTAAATTGCTCAACTTAACGATCGAACTTCTCCAAGCGTTTTTCTCGGGCTAACAAAATAAATAACCACATGAGTTAGATAAATTCATGATAATATTAAATTAAATTAAATAATACATAGAAAATCAATAACAATAACAATGAAGAGACTTACCGACTCGAACCAGTTGGTTATACATAATTTTGCTTTTTGTCTTCTTTTGCAAGTTGCTTGCATAGTGTCGCATGCACCATCCACTCCCAGCCTCTTCTGATGTTACTCATGGCTTCATAGGGTCCAACATGTCTATCTGAGATGATGCAGACATCGTTTCGATCGGTCAAATCTTGAACGTGTCTTATGAACCATGGCCAACTATTAGTATTCTCGCTCTCCACTATGGCAAATGCAATTGGAAAAATCTTCTTCCGACCATCAAATGAGCTCTCCAGGAGTAGAACTCCTTTATACTTTCCAGTAAGAAATGTTCCATCAACAACCATGACTCCTGGACAATTCTTGAATCCATCTATACAAGGTCCATAAGCCCAGAATACTCGCCGGAAGATCAAATGACCTGGTTGCGATGAAGAAACTTTTACCCAATCAATCACTGATGTTGGCATTTTTCTCTTCACAACCCCCAAGAATGTTTGCAAATAATCGTAAGATTCATCCCAATTTCCATGCAACTTCCAATGCTCTTTGTTTCCCATACCAAGCCTTCTTATAAGTAACTTGCATATTAAATTTATCTTTCAACTCGGCTTGCACAGTTAGAACACTAACATTTGGTTGGGCACGTACCAAATGTTTCACGAGCTCAGATATAACGTCGACATCAAGATGCCGATGATTTTTCGGTTGAGTTGTATTACTACAAGAATGCACCAACTCGGACTTTCTCACAGTCCATTCGCTTCCAACGTCTCGACATCCAAACCGCACCATCCAAGGACAATTGTCATCCTTATGCTTCAAGCATCTAACCTTCCAGATTGAAGGTGACAACTCCACCACGCCATACTGAAAGTTGCGTTGTAGTGCGTGATGTCTAACCGCCACCTGTGCAGCTTGTTTCGAGTGAAATATCTGGCCCTTGTAGAATTCTCCTTCAAAACCAGTAGCAATAGGCATTGGAATTACGCCATATGAATCAACATATGATAATTCATCATCCTCTCCATTAGCCTGCAAGTAAAAATATGGAGGATAATTAGCCTGCTCCTCCTCCGCATCTTCCTCCTCTTCGTCGTCATAATCATTATCAGATGGCACACTCCATGTCTCATCTTCACCCTGATCAGCCTGTCTAATATCAGCATGTATCTCGGCACCCAAACAATAAGGATTTTGTGCCATAAAATCGAAAAACACATTCAAACCATCATCATCCATAATAGGCATCTCATAATGAAATAGAACACCATTCTGTCATTCTGGAAGACATTAAGTGAAACATGTGATCATATCACTATCTTGTACTGTTTCATCTCTACGACGTATTCTCGAGATTAGATTCTCACAAAATTGATGATATGTCACCCGACATGGAACTGTCAATTGAAACTTTCTACCACCAACGAAATGGAGGCCCAAATTGTCCTCTACTTTCTCCGGTTTCCACCAAACAATTAGTTCAAATCTCCTAAAATCAATACATAACAAACAAATTCACTAATTACTAACTAAAGAAAATTATAATAGCATTTTAATAATATAATTACAAAAATAAATGTGTCTCTTACCTAGCCATCTTTGCAGCAACCAGCAGAGCTCCTCCCTCTCGTTTTCGTATAAGTTTTTTGTGTGGTGATACTGAAAGGAAGAGAATGGAGGAAGATATATATACTGGAGTGGGGTAAAAAAGACCGCGAATCCGCATGAGACTAATGCGGGTCCGCTGGTCAAAGTTCAGGGAATCTGTCAGCGCATTTTAAAAGGAACTCTGCGTCTCCGCACTAGTCCCACGCGAGTCCGCCCTTTTTACTTCAAAATACAAATTGTGCGGGTCCGCATCAATTTGACGCGGAAATGCATATCTTCCCTACAAAAACACAATATCTGTGTAAATATATTTAAAACCACCATATTGATGGGAAATTAAAAAAAACACACAATAGTTTGGGAATTTACCCACAAAATTGCAATTCACCTTAATTTGGGTATAATTTGGTATATAGACGTGCTAAAGACTAGAGAGAGACAGAGTGAGAGTGAGAGACATAAATAAAATACGAAATAAAATTATAAAAACAAAGAGAAACAGAACTTTCCCTTCCTCATATATTTTTATCACCTCTCTCTCGCTCTCTGTGTCTCTCCTCTCCTCCAAACCCCTCAAAACATACCCTTATCAATACCATCATAAAAAAAAATTCTTCCCTTTGGATTTCATTTCTACGATTTCAATTGGGAATTTTTTTTTCTTCGAGGGAAACAAAGAAGCTCCCTACCAAGATCACAGATTCTGTACAATCGAATCGGCGCCGACCTTACACCACCGCCTCCTTGCCCCTTCTTTGATCGATCGTTACAAATTGTGGGTTCGAGGAAAAGAACGAGAAAAGGGGTAAAGGAGAGAGCTTTTTTTCTTGATCATTTCGTGGAAGGAGGAGGAGAAGGAAGAGGGGAGCTAAAGGGATAAAGGAAAAAAAAAGGCAGAGAGAGCTATGGATGCCGATTCGTGGAGCGCTCGTCTCTCTTCTGCTTCTAAGAGATATCAATCAGCTCTTCAATCGCGATCTGGTGAACCTTCGTGCCACCATTCTTTCCCCTTTCTAATTGTGTCTTTCTTGTTTCGATTGAGGATGGTTTCTGTTTTGATGGAAGGAAAATCTGAGGGATAATGTGGATTGGGGGAGATTAGATTGTGTTTAGGTTTCTGAATTGTGAAGTTAAATGCCTGCATCTTTTGGGTCGTTTTGTGGGATTGGGATTGTTTGGTGAAATAGAAAATAAGTGATGGGAGTTTTTCAGGGGAAAAATTAGATTGGCACCCATTGACTGTTTGGATAGGCTCTGTGTACTTCTCTGTAGGATGTTTGAAGCTTTCGTCATTCAAATTTCTGAGATACTTGTGATTCTTTGTTTCATAAAACATTGGTCTTTTGTGGAGGTCAATGATTTGATTGTCTTTCTGTAGAAATGGAGACCCCGGCCATGGTTTATCCCTCTTGTTTTTGTGGTGCAATGTCTAACATTGGTTTGGCCTGCAGATATGTTTATGGGATTTGAAGAAATCGACGTTGATGATGATATGAGGGAGGAGTTTCCGTGCCCTTTCTGTTCAGAGTACTTTGATATTGTTGGCTTGTGTTGTCACATCGATGATGAGCATCCTGTGGAAGCAAAGAACGGGGTATTGCTTTCTTTCCCAATCCGGTAGCAGTATATCTCCATTCCCTAATTCTTGGATATGGATCCTTATAAATGGTTCATGATGTTAAAATTCATGATGTCGATTTTCCTTTCACGAGGACATAAAATGGCACATCGAAAGTGCTTCATTTCAGTCTGTCCTTTTGTTTCTGCACTGTAGAACTTTCCTCCTTTATTTTGACTGTTGCTTTTAATTTCTTTTAGTTGCCAACACCGAATGAGTCTATCTATGTCTCCGTTGTTGTATCCTCTCCCAATTGAGTTGCACGGGTATGGTGATTGCAGGGCTAATGAACTCTTTGCTGGTTAAATGTTGGTTAACACCTGGAATAGGCTTTAGTGTTGGCCAATGCTCCATGAGAGTTGTCGACCTCCTAGCCATTGACTGCTCGTGATAGGAGAGTAGCCTTGTGGACATATGACTTTCTACGAACTAGCAGCCCAGTAGGATGTTATGCCTTCTTTTTCATGCTCCTGTACATCAGTGGATGAGATCCATCCTACGATGCCTAAGTTCAGACTGATGGCTTTGTTGTTTTGCGTTCTAGATGTGGACTGCTTCTTGAAGGTTAAAGCTCACTAACTGATGATTTCTATGTTTGTACAGGTTTGTCCAGTTTGTGCCATTAGGGTGGGTGTTGATATGGTTGCCCACATAACCTTACAGCATGGAAATATTTTCAAGATATCCTTTTCTCCTCGAGTTAGTGTCATTTTAGATACCCAAGTTTTGGACTCTAATAAATCTGCGCCTGTTGTAGCTAATATAATTCACATTAATTGATTTGACGGTATATTGTTTGATTGCCAAGAATAGTAAAAACTTCAAGTACGCATGATTGACCTAACCTTCCAATCCTCTTGAAATCCTTGACGAAAGAGCTTACATGCAGCGCAAAAGGAAATCACGCAGAGGTGGACCTCATTCGAGCCTTTCTTTGTTGAGGAAAGAGCTGCGAGAGGGAAATCTACAGTCCCTTTTCGGTTCTTCTTGTATAGTTTCGTCGTCAAATGCTGCTCCTGATCCATTGTTGTCGTCTTTCATTCTACCCATGGGAGATGATTTCACGTCTCCACAGACGTCCTTTTCAACTGAAACGAGTTTCTCTAAGAAAGGCACGGAAGAGAGTATTGTAGAAAGGTTTGTTGTCTGATCACTGCTTGATTTATACCTGATATTCCAAGTCCATAACGTCAATATTCTTTCCATCCTTTTATTGACTCCTCTCCTAGAGATGAATGAAGTCCCCATGCTAGTAAGATCATAAAGGGATCTTAGGAAGGTCATTCTTAGGGGGTGGGCTTCCATTTGGTCCACACTTGACTGAATTGACAGTTTAATTGTTTTGATTCCATGGTTTTTCTTAAAATAAATGCTGACTGAATCAAGATTGAACCAGCCCTTTGTTTTCGATAAGGTCATCTGTAACTTGGTCCAAACCGTACCAGAGTTTCATTGCATTAGACAAAGAACTAGTTGTGAAAAGGTTCTGCATTGCTTCTGTGAATGCACATACAGATTGCCATATTCGGTAATCCTCGAGGAGATATTGTTCAGTACACCGACATTGTCTGGAGAATCTTCACCTGGATCATAATTCGATCCCTAATATCCTTTTGTGTTTTTGGTACGCAGAAAAGCAAAGTCACCACCATTGTCGATCAAGGATAAGGAAGAGAAAGCGAAAAGGAGCAATTTCGCTCAGGGGCTCTTGTTGTCCACCATTTTTGGTGATGATGTTTCATAAGGACAAAGGGGGTGCAAAAAGGAAAACTCTGAACTGAGAGAGGCCATGCTAAAAATGCTCCTCCATGGAAGAAGAACTCTTTAATGGTTTGTTTGTAGTAGTCAAATATGGAAGTTGTATTATCAAGTGGTTGAGAGAATAAAGCTTAGTATTGTAAAAACTCTTTCGTAGTTGTTGAGACCTGAACAAACTTTTACCTTTCAGGTCTATTGTTAAATTGGGGAAAACAAAAGGAAGAAAAAGGCCAAAAGAAGGATAAAAACTTCTTTTCTATATATAGCTTTTCTAGTCTTTCGTTGCTTTCCTGAAGAGGTTCGAGTCATGACCAATTCAAGAACACACAAAACGCCGAAATTTTACAGGTGTGGCTTTAGAAATGGAAACTTAGCTGGATTCTCCCACCCATATTAAAGATGACTGAAAGAGAAAAGTGTCGAAATGAAAAAGAAGGAACTTGTTTTTTCTCCAAAGAGAACTGTTTGTGATCCATTGTGCTGCTAGCAGTTGATTTACATACTCAGACTAAACAAATAAGATTCAATGATAATTGTGTCACCTTTAGTAACACAAATATTGGTGAGAATCCAATGCCCGAAAAACCTAAGGGTTCTTCAGCAAGGTTTGTCCATGGAGGGTGAGTCAGGACCTAAGATTTTAATATAACTGCCATGTGTTCAATGTTGGATCGAATAAATACGGCTGACAAGTGACAAATATCATGCGTGGAATGTAGGGTGGAAAGATTAGACCACAACCTTCCAAGTCAAACGGGTGCTACCCTTGGATCAATTCGATTCGAACATTGTTTATATTTGGTATTACGGTTCGGATCATGCCATCTCACTTTAGCCTTGGAAGCTGAAAACCAACGAGAGATTATAGCAAAGAAGGCCAACTGAAAGCAACAAGAGGAGGCACCTGATGAATGTGAGGCATAGAATAGACAGCAGAAACTAATCTGGCTCTCAACATCTAAAGAGAACAATTCTAAACAATGACTGATCTGTTTAAACAATGGGTGGTGGATCAAATAAGCATACAGAGCAAAGTGCCCCTATGCTCAAAAGTCTGTACCTTTTTTTCTGAATCTATGAACAGTTTTGACTCAAAAAATTTTCTTACCCTAAGCCCTATAAACCAAGACTAAGCCATTGTGGCAGCCTTGGCACCCTTGAATCCAATATTTTCACCACTACATCCCTCACAAATGATTCAAAACAAGTTGAGCAAAAACCTCTCATTATGCTACCTTGTCCAGCAAAGATTCTGTCAAGATGCGAGCAACCAGGTGGAGGAGGCAAGGGATGAACTTCATTCCTCTTGTGCTCAAGCCCGCAGTGTGCCAAGATTGTGTGTGTTGAAGCCCTCACAACTTGCTTGAAGTTCTCTTGCCCTGCATCACATAAAAAGGGCTTAAGGCCAAAGCTGCTTCCATATCCATGAAGAGGGCAACGAAGAATTTTTGTGACTATAAAAGATGCCTATAGTACTAACCATATGCTCATGGTTATGAATAGAATGACATACAATTTAGGTCCCTTGAGACTTTACTGTTTAAGCCGATACCCAATATGCTTCTTCATTCTTACTAATACAGCAAACAAATTAGCTATAACTTCAGGGACCTAAATGCTACTTCGTTCTAATGAATAATATCACACGAACCTACTACAATGTCAACCAAAACACAAGAGGAGGAATCTGCAATGGAGGGGGGAAAAGCATACCTAGTTCATTATCTTGGGTCAAGGCTTTGGCATGGCCTTTCACCATCGATTGTAGGTGCTCCTTCAAAACATAGAATTGACTGTCACCTCCATAGGAGGCCAAATTGCCATGAACCAGATTTGTATGTGTATCTTCTCTAGACCATAATGCCAAACTCACAGGCTGCTCGCTGGCTACAAAATTCGAAGGCTCCTCAATTGTTTCTCTCCATTCGTTCTGTGGTAGTCTATTATACCTGTTGCTCAAGTAAGCCGGATTGAAGTTGTTAGTCGGTTGAACTGGCATTTCCCTGTGCTGAGACTGAGAATTGGGGACTGGCATTGCTTCCATTCTGCTAGACAGAAGGCTCTGGATGCGTCGTTGAATCTCGCGTCTTCCCCAGAGTGTCGATGCACCTGTTCCTGGAGAAGAAGCCACCACTGGAGATATCAGGTGACGGAACGTCGAATGTGATGGAAGTTCCGAGCTCATCAGCATTCTGTCTTCTAAACTGAGAGTCTCCTGTCTGTTTAACTGGTTGCTCATAGGCATCTGTCCATTGATTTGGTTGCTCATTGTCATTGGTCTGCTAATTGTGTTGCTCATTGCCATTGGTCTACTAAACGTCACGTTTGATGAAGTTGCCGAACTCGGAAGCAATCTGTCTTGTGCACTGAGAGTTTCTGGTCTACTAAACCTGTTGTTCATTGGCCTTGGTATATTAAACCTGTTGCCCGATGGAATTGGTAGTCTATTGAACCTGTTGACCACTGCTCTTTGATCAGGTGGAAAGGTGTCCTGAGCCTGGGAACTAGAGGTACCAAGAGCAACAGGCTTACAACCTTCACAGTACCAGTTTCCCTCGGGCACTTGCCGCCCTAGACCGACGCAGTAGGTATGAGCTGGCGAATCACAGAGGTCGCACAGCAGCATGAGAGCATCATCTCCACCTTCATGGCATTCTGCGCAAATAACACTCTCATACGGATCAATGAAGCTTCGAATTTCCTCTTCAGTTGGTTGATACACCTAATACAATAGCAAGAAACCAAAAAATTGTAACTTGCGCTAATAAATGGAGAACTGAAATCAAACATACACAAATGACGGGCATAAGGCGATAGAGCAAATACAGAAGCAGACCTGATCACGCATGGGGACTTCTATGACCTCGCTTCTCATATCAACTCCAAGAGATAATCTCCCACTCTTGGTGATTGTCGTAAACCTTTGCTTGCACAAGGGGCAACGAGATTCGACCTTTGACCACTCCATGATGCACTTGAAGCAGAAGTAATGGCTGCAGCAGTCTAGAGTTCCTCTTAATCTTCTTTTATCCTCTTCTGTGAGACAGACTCCGCAGACTTGCTTTGCAACTACCTCGAGTTTTTTGGATTCCTCCACCTTCTCTTTCCCCTTCTTCGCCATTAAATCTTGATTATCATGCTCCTCTTCATTTGTTTTTACAGAGGATAATGATGAACTCCTCAAACTAGTCTTCTTCATTTCTCCTCCGAATATCTTCTCAGCTTCTCTCACCTGTTCTCTCTCCTCTTCAGAGATCGTGTACTCTGGTTCAGATCCAGATGCCCCAAAATCCGAATCAGAATTCACGGTGTACTTCATTTTCCTCGAAGTTCTCTTGCTCTTTTTCTCCCTGGCAGCTGAGTTGCAGTCGGTGAAATTCACGTCATCATCATCATCGCTCCTCATTTTCTTCCTCAATCGACGCTTCTTCTTTCTGCCCTTCTTGGCAATAGACCGATGCAGCGGTGTTGATTTCATTCTTGTAGCACTCCCTTTTTTTCTAGTCCTCTTGACCATCTTGTTCACCTTACTACTCTTCTTCTTTTTCGAGATTAGTTCGTCATCCTCATCCAAACAATCATCATCATCATCTTCTTCTTCTTCTTCTTCTTCTTCTTCTTCTTCTTCTTCTTCTTCTTCTTCTTCTTCTTCTTCACACAATGCTAATTCGTCATCCTTACCATCATAGTCGTCATCAGCATCCACGTCATCATCATCGCCAATAACATAATCTTCATCTTTGTCTTCATCTTCTTCATATGAAATCTGACTCCTCTTTCGTGCTCCGATTTTCCCATTATTGGATCGAACAGTCCTTCTACATGCTTTCGCCAGTTCTTCCTCATCTTCTGATGAGAACCCTTCTAAAGAGCTAGCATACTCCTCCGATTCATTCCCCTCATACTCAATCACATAATCCTCATCCGAATCATCAGAAACCTCGTCGTCCGATCTAACTCTCTTCTTGAAACTCCTTTTACCAGTAATTTTCCCACCCTTTCCCATCTACCTCTCAACCCACAATCACCCACCAAATTCCTAAAAACTGCCTCTATCAGCTCTAAATTATGCCAAACCTACCCACAAAAAACCTTCGATTTCATTCAACTTCTATCATCAGGGATTCCCTAATTCAACACATGCAATCCTATCACGGAAACAAAATCCTGGAGATTCGCCCAAAAGGAGAGAAAAATTAAATCTCCTTCCAAGCTACCTTTCAAATGACTTGTTTTTGCCTTCGATTCCACTCAAATTGAGCAACACGATCGAAACTTGAAACCTAACCTACCAATTTCTTTAGTCCCATACCAAATCCCAAAAATTCCACATAAAACCCAAATCAGGAAGGAAATCAGCTCCCTCAGCTGGCCGCAATTAAACTCGCTTCCTTGTCTGCCGAATCCAAGCTCCAAAATACGCCGAAAAAGGGTAAATTTTCATCTTTCACCCTTTTGGGGTTGAATCATTCAAAGGGTAATTCAAAGCTAATAAACTTTGAAAACCCTTAAACGGGAGAACAATAAAAACCAGAGAAAAATTAATAAATACGATAAAAAGCTTACAGCTTTACGAGCCTACGGATACAGCTGAATTATACAGAGAGAGAGAGGCAGAGAAGGGGGAAGTACAGAGGAGAGATACAGATGGAGCGGGCTCTGCGATGAGTGGCAAAAGGGCAGAGGAGAAGGAAAATGGAGGCTGGAAACCGAATTATGCAGGAAAAGAAGGAAAGAAATGTGCTTTATTGGTTGGGTTAGCTGCAAAAGGAGATGAAAAGAAAAAAAGAATTTCCAGAGAAGAAAGGAACCAAGGAAGAGCCGCGTTAATGGGTGATTCCAAATCCGCAATCCGGTTGAGATTTTCTCCATAATGTGTTTGTTTGTTTGTTTAGTGCTTTCCCCTCTCTTTTTGGGTTTTGTTTCCAATTAGTGAAGGTTAATGCCAAAGTTTATAATGCATGATAGACCTGAAGGATAAAACAATCATTTGTAAAATTAATTAATTAAAAGGCTTAATTCACTTACATAGTCATAACTTTCACGATTTTGATAAATATAGTCACTTTTTGAAAAATACAAAGACATAACCAATTTTATCCAATTCTTTAACGGTTCACTTAACCCGTTAACTGGACTAACGGCAGCGGTTGATGTGACGTGTTTTAATTTGCGTCCTTGCCACTTGAAAAACATTCATATTGTTTTTTAATTAATGAATAAATAAATTAAAAATAAAAGTAAAAAAGGGAGAGAAAAACCAATCACTTTCCTCGCAATACCCTTCTCTCCTCCTGGTTTTCTTTCTCGTTTCTTCCTCTCCGCCGTCATCGTCAGCAAATTTGAAGGAGGAGGAGGAGGAGGAACGACGACATGAATCTGGTTCTCTAATTCTTTCAATGGTCATTGGAAACCCCAAAATATCAAATCGCATCCTCTCACAACCGATTTACCCTATCCTGTCGAGCTTCCCCTGAATCACACTAACGAGAAACAAGAACCCAGAACAGAGTAAATCAGAGCCATCATAGGGATATTCGGAGAATTGGAAAGATGGGGTTTCGAGAGATCGATTCAAGATAGAGTGAGAGCCAACCCGCCCAACCAATCCCTCATCCACCTAATTTACTTGTCGCCCTCTCTAATGACTCTGCTCCTTTCCCTCTCCCCCAAGTTGTCTATCCCTCTCCCCAATTTTGAGATGTTGCTACTAGTATGGGCGGTCGGATCCTAAGATTAGGGTCTGGGAAGGAAGAGAAGGAGGAAAATACAAATGCTGGCGACGGTTTTGGTGGTGGCCATAGCCGTATTAGTGGTGGGGATGAGGAGTTGGAGAGCGAGGGGAGGAGGAGGGAGATACGAGAGAGAATGAGGTTGGGGAGAACGGCGGCAGCGACATCGACAATAGAGAAGAACATATCGGGGATTTAGGAAAGATGTGAGTGCGTCGGAAAGGGCGGAGATTTTGATTCGGCGTTGGAGCAGTCGCACTAGATGTATTCGATTGGGTGGCCGGAGTTCCAATTGGGGTAAGGGCAGCGAGCTACACCGTAGACCTTCCATGGGCTGCTCATCTTCATCAAGCTTCTTCTGCAGGAAGAAAAGGGGGAAAGATGAACAAAGTCGGAGACGAACCCAATTTCAAACTTGTCAAAATCGGGAATGGGATGGATATTTGGAGATCAATTAAGATTTATTGAGGTTATCAAGAGATCACCTTAGCGAAGCTTTAGAATTGATTTGAGTGCTGGGGAGAAGCTCCGGCGACGCCGAAGGGGGACGATGGGGAAGGGACGAGATGGAAGAAGAAGGAGAGCCCGAGAAGGAAAGTGAAAAAAGAAAGATAAATTTTTATTTTAATTTAAATATGATGTGGCAGATTAGTGGCATGATTTGGTGTGTTGGAGCTGATGTGGGAGCTCAGGTGCCATCCACACTAGTGTCATGTTAACGGTGTTAAAACTTTTAACGGAAATGGCTGATTATGTCAAACGAGTTTTCAAAATGTGGCTATATCTGTGTATTTTTCAAAATCGTGAAAGTTATGGCTATGCAAGTGAATTAAGCCTAATTAAAATGAATGGGTAAAGTTTGGCTGGTTGCGTGTAGGGTTGGAAGTTTGGTACGTGTATTTGGGATATATCGAATACAGTATTAGATTTGTCAATATTTGATATTATCGAATACACGTAATGTCTCATGGGATTGAGATTGAATTTCAAGTGTTATTTGATATCAGGAACTACAAGGTATGTATATAACAAAATATTGATAAACATCAAAATATAAGTTAATGCGTTTTTTAACCCTCCCAACTCGATTGCCTTACTCATTGCTACCAGACACTCAACCGTCAAAATGATCACTTAGTGGATAAAATACCTCGGGTACCACTTAAATTTGAGAATTGGTGTAGACATACCACTTAAGTTTGAATAGGGTGTCGGGTACCATTAAAGTCGCCAAAAGGTGCATCCATCTAGTTTCCCATCCAACCCAAATTTTATTTACCTTTTGGTACCCAAAACTTTTAAAAACATCCAAAACTATATGTCAACAAGTATTATTCTAAACATGGTATTACTAGAATGACTAATGAAAATCTCACTAAAATAGATAAATTAGTAAAAATAATAAACAAATATCTAAAAGGAACAATAAATCTAGGGTTAATACCTGAACTATGACTATGTTATCAACTTTGACTCGTGGTTTGAGAAATTAATATCCTGGCCCGAACTATGCAGCGTATAAACAGAACTGGCCTGGAGCATGGGTTGACCGCTTGTTTGGACGGTCAACTGTCCAAGTCACTGGCATGTCAGCACAAAAAAATTATAATTTCATTTTTCTTTTTATTTCCTTTATAAAATTGAATAATAACGAAAAAAATTGGCCACCCATCCCTACCTTATCCCTCGCCTTCTTTCCTTTACAATCATAACCCAAAAAACCCTAACCATTATTCTTCTTCCTCCTTCTTCCCCGACGATCCGCCGTCTGGAGGAAGAAGAATAATGGTTAGGGTTTCTTGGGTTCTGATCGAAAAGGAAAGAAGGCGAGGGGATAAGGTGGGGATGGGTGGCCGATTTTTTTTTTTTTTATTATTCAATTTTATAAAGGAAATAAAAAGAAAAATGAAATTATAATTTTTTTTTTGTGTTGACATGGCAGTGACCTGGACAGTTGACTAACGGTCAACGGTGTTGACCGTCCAAACAAACAGTCAAACCACGCTCTAGGCCAATTCTGTCTATATGCTGCATAATTCGGGCCAGTATGTTAATTTCTCAAACCACGGGCTAAAGTTGATTATATGGTCATAGTTTAGGCCATAATAAGGTATTAACCCATAAATCTACTAGAACATAATAATGCATATTTAAAATCAATATTAGAAGATCTAGTTAAACCTCTAATCCAATTAGAAGCACCACTAAAAATAGTCAAAATGAAACCTAATTGAACATCAATATATCAAGACCAAACAATGATAAATGGAACACAGTAAGAAAGAATTCACATATTCCAATAATTGAAAAAAATCCGAACGAATTCACAACATTCTGTTACAAATCTAGAAAAGAAAATATGACTATTAGAAGAGAATTAGATTAGTAAATTTAACTAATATGGAACATTTACAATTTAATATAGGGAATTACAAGGAGATTTAAAATAGTAAATTAAACAACATCAGCATGATGTAAGAGAACTAAATATAACATCCTCAAATTATTTATATTGAGTCAGAATTCATAGGACATATCTGCTCTGAATAATTCAACTATTATAACACATAATGATAATTGAAAATACTTATAATGATAATTGATTCTAAATTTCTATTCAAAAATTGGTTTTGTATCACAGTCTTCAAAAGATTATTCAAACTAAACTGAATTCATATGATAGATTTGTTTAAGGGAATAATTCAATTATTATAAAACATAATGATAATTGAAAATAATTATAATGATAGTTGATTTTAAATTTCTTATTCAAAATTGGGTTGGTATTAGAGTCTTTTAAAGAGGATTCCAACTAAACAATAAAAAATTATGGTTTTCATAAGTCCAAAGGATTTTTTACAATAATAAGAGTAAAATGACCAATTCTAAAATTTGGAAAACAAACTATTCCAATAATATTTTGTTAACTTTAACGGAATGCAGTTATCAGTCAACTTAAGTGGTACTGAGTGCTCATATAATAGAGTTCAGTGTTACACAATTCTCTGTTCTCACTTAAGTGGTCTAGCTCTTCCAATTCTCATACTTTAGTGGTACCCGAGGTATTTTACACCCACTTAGTTTTTTTATATGTTACACCCACTTAGTTATACATAGCACATTTCCCTAAGTTTTTTTTTTTTTTTGCATAGCAGGAGGCGAAAGGCAAGAACAAGAAGGTTACATAGGGGAATGAGAAGACAAAGGGCTATCCTGGCGGGAAACAATCCGCCGCTCAAAAGAAACACCCTGAATATCATCCTGAAGAGTGGCCATTACTCCTGGCGGCGGGTGTGCAAGCTCATGTATTCCGTAGGTATAGACGAGACTGTGCTTCGAGAGCCAGTCCGCGACTCTATTCCCTTCTCGGTACACATGAACGATGCGCACCAGCCAGTCCATACTAATTCTTCTGCGGATGGCAGCTAACAAAGTAGCATAAGGATGAACTGGATCATGCCTGTCGTTGATTAACTGGATGGCAAGCTGAGAATCAGACTAAACTATTATCTGGCGGTGTCCGGACTTCCAAGCGATATCCAAACCGTGATAGAAGGCCCATAGCTCGGCTAGAGCTACCGAGGCTTCACCAATTTTTGCCACAAAGCCGACTATCCAATGCCCCATACTGTCTCGAATCACTCCTCCAGCCCCGGCAATCCCCGGGTTCCCATTAGAGGCTCCGTCAAGATTAAGCTTCACCCACCCCTCCGCAGGAGGACTCCAAGCAATCTTCATCGTAACTCGAGTGGCAGGGGACGCCCTTCTAATCTGCAAAGGACCTGGGGCGCTCCAAGCTTCCCTCCAGAGCTTGGCCTTAGCAACAATCGAATGGGCCAAGGAGGGTGGAGGAAATACCTTTGAAGCACATGTCGTTTCTATTTTTCCATAAGAGCCAAGCGGTGACACTGAAAAACGCCGCCCAGCTATCCCCCCGGTGCTCGTCATCCCCTTCGGCCAAATTCATTCGAAGCCACGTTGCCGTGTCCGCAGAGAAGAAGCTCTGCTGTCTAGTAAAGGGGACCTGTCTCGTCCAGAAGTATGCCGCTGGAGGGCAGTCCCTGAGGATGTGAAGGACAGTCTCGGCTCGACCATTACACCGTGCACAGTGGGGAGAATCAGCTAACCTCCTGGAAAAACGAAGAGCGTTAGTCGCAATCCTGCCCAGGCAAACCATCCACATGAAACAACGGATCCTTTCCGGGACTGGCAGACTCCAAATGATCTTCCAGAGCTTTTCGTCATGATCCGGCTCTTGAGGCAGTAGAGACTGGTAGGCAGATTTCGTGGTGAATCTGCCAGTGGACGACAAGGTCCAGAACAGAGTATCCTCCTCGTTGGAGAGCTTATCAACCGCCACTCCTGTGATTTTCTGCTGAATTTCTTCAGGAAGAATGTCCTCAAACAAATCAGTTCGCCATTCTCCATCTTCTGTCACCAAATCCGCTACTGTCTCCTTGATGCGCGAGGTGGGAATTTCCTCAACCGCCAGATTCTTCAGAGGTTCCTGCACAAGCCAAGAGTCATTCCAAAATTTAGTAGCATTCTCATTCTTAATATTCCAAGCACATCCTCCTTTAAGAAGGGAGGAGGCTTTTGTTAAGCTTTTCCAGGTAAAGGAGCTTCCCTGAACTGGTCTAAAAAGATCCAGATTCTCCTTGTTCCACCCGTACTTATCCCTGACCACCTGCGTCCAGAGCACGTCCTTATATTTTAGGAGTCTCCAACCGCTTTTAGCAAGCATGGCTAGATTGGCATTTCGCACGGAGCGGAGACCAGCACCTCCTTGAGACTTAGGCAAGGTCATCTTCTCCCAACCAACCAGGTGGATTTTCGATCTCCCCTCTTCCTCTCCCCATACAAAATTCCTGTTAATACGATCAATCGAAGTACAGACTCCTTTAGGTAGTAACTCAGTGTGAAAATGGTAAGTGGGAAGAGAGGAAATGATAGACCTGGAAATGGTGAGACGAGCTGCCGAGGACAGGCGCTTGGCCTTCCACGGGGCTAGTTTCTTTTGGATGCGGAGGAGAAGGCCCTGGCATCTCCCAGCAGTCACCCGACCGTGAATGCTGTGAATACCAAGATATCTCTCAAGCTCGGCCTTCAGGGGGATCGCCGCCCGCTCGCTCAAGATACGAGCTGTGGACCTGTCAACGTTCGGAGACACAAACATCAAGGACTTGGCGTAGTTGACCCGCTACCCAGAGCTGGAACAAAAGTCATCTAGGCACTGCTTGATAATCCTGATTTGCGTTGTCTCAGCCTCTGCAAAAAAGCAGAAGATCATCTGCAAAGAAAAGGTGAGTGAGGGGCGGCCCATCCCTGGTGAGCTTAATGGGCTTCCATTGCCCACTAAGGAGAGCCGCATCTATTCTGTGAGATAAACGCTCCATACAAAGAACAAAGAGATAGGGGGGAAAGAGGGTCTCCCTGGCGAACTCCGCGAGTAGGCGTGATAGGGGAGGACAAGGTGTCATTCCAGAGTACGCGCATCTTATTCTGCTCCACACAATACATGATACCTCGTATCCAAGCACTGGGAAGCCCCACTTCCTTCAAAGTATCCCGAAGAAAGTCGCATCTCAACATATCATACGCTTTCTCAAGGTCGATCTTAAGAACCAGACCCCCTTTCTTTCCCATCCTCTTCCCAAGAGAGTGGAGGACTTCCTGGACCACTATGACATTATCTGTAGTCTGCCTCCCGGGGATAAAACTGCTCTGGCGAGGGGAAACGAGCTTCCTCATGACCGGCTTTAGCCTACTAGTAATAGCTTTGGTGATGGCTTTGAGACTCACATTATTAAGTGAGATAAGCCGAAGCTGGGTTACAAACTCTGGATGATCGACTTTGGGAATAAGCACCAAGGTTGATTCTGAGACCTCGGCAGGGAGAGCTCCGGAACTGAAGAAGTTCAGCGCCATATCAGTAAGAGATTTCCCAACCACGCTCCAGGTCTGTTGGTAGAAAGCCGCGTGGAACCCATCCGGGCCGGGGGCTTGGAAAGGCTTCATCTCAAAAACAGCTTCCTGAATATCCAAGGAGGTGAAAGGTCTCAGCAGGGCAAGGAGCTCCTCTTGACCAATGCGGGGAAAGGCGTTCTTCGGCATCCTATCCTCATACACAAAATTGTCTTGCAGATAGAGGTTAGTATATAAATCAAAGACCATACTCGCCAGAGCACGAGGGTCATCAATCCAAGCCCCTGTTGGGTCACGAAGAGTAGTAATTTTGTTTCTGCGCCTCTTGATGTTAGCCAGCTGATGAAAATAACTGGTATTGCACTCCCCAAACTTGACCCAGTTCTCTCTAGCCCTCTGGTACCAAATCAACTCCTCTTGTTCCAAGACCGCGTCCAGCTCAGCTTCAAGCTTGGAGTGAAGCTTCGCCAGCCCAGGATGAAAAGCTTCAGAGAGGCGCATCTCCACTCCTCGAATCCGCCCTAGCAGCCTTCTCTTTTTCTGTTGAACATTTCCAAACACATCCCTATTCCACACCTGAAGTGCCAAGCTCAGCTCTTGAAGCGCGGACTGCAAAGGGGCAGAGGGATTCCAAGCACCTGCAATAGTATTCAGAAGTGTATTACTAGTCAGCCAGGCAGCCTCGAACTTGAAAGCACGAGGAGGGTGGGAGGAATTCCCCTGATAAGAAAAGGAAGTGAGAATTGGATTGTGATCCGAGTTGAGGCGGGGCAGGTGGCGGACACCGGTGTTAGGGAAAACCGAATTCCACAAGATACTGCATAAGCTCCTATCAATCCTGCTAGCCTTGTAAGTATCCGGATCTTTCCCCCTAGTCCAAGTAAAGTTGGGGACAGAGTAACCAAGATCCACTAGATCAGCTTCGTTAATCCTCTCGTTAAAAACGCGGCATCTCCACAAAGTAGCCACTGACGCAGCCCCGGATTTCTCAGAAGGAGTTCTAATGGCATTAAAATCTCCCGTAAGAATCCAAGGTATGTCAATAGTCTTGCTCTGAGCTGAGATGCTATCCCAGAGCGGTCGTTGCCGGCTAGGATGAGGGGAGGCATACACCACAGTAAACATCCAGTCTGGTAAGCTGTTATGAGAGATACGCATGGTAATATGTTGAGAGCAGGCCAAAAGGATTTGAATCTTGAAACAACGAGCGTCCCAAAAGATCCAAATGCCGCCTTGCCTCCCCTCTGCCTCCACGCGAATCACATCCGGAAACCCCAACTTGTCACAAACACTATTAGCTGCATTGCCACTAATTTGCGGTTCCTGCAGAATAACAATATCAGGCTTATGAGTCTGAATGGTTAGCTTAAGAGCGCGAGAAAAGGCTTTGCTCCCAGCACTACCCACATTCCAAGAGAGAATATTGTAAAAATTAGAAGAGGACATAGACATGGAAACGGAAACAGAAACGAGCAGAAGAAAAAAAGAGAGTTCAAGAACAAAAACACCAAATTAGAGGGGAGTCCCGGCGGCAGCGGCCATGTCCTCAACAACGGCAAGGTGCTCCAGGTGGGGTGGGCGAGCAACTCCTTGCTCTATGCTTCGATCAGCTTGAGCCGCCGCTCCAGTCCAGGCATTAATCTTCTGAAGCGTAAGGGTCGCCAATCTGGCTCTTGATTTGTTCTTCTTATCCTTCAACGGGGACCATATGTGAAGAGCTTTGGAGGCCTGAAGCTTCACCGGTGTAGATCCCTTCTTAGGGTGGAGCCGAGCATTTCTGTTTGATTTTGTGCGTTCCGCAGCCGTCGGGAAACTGGAGTCTGGTTGCCGACTCTTTTTTGGCGATGAGGAGACATCCATGATGTGCATCTTAGTCCCTTTAGGACCCACAACCAGTTGGATCGGTGGCTGGCTAAGGGGAAGGGGCCTTTTATCTGACATGGGCCCAGAGCCCACGATCGAAGGTTCATGGTCTGACTGTTTCGGGCGCTCAGATGGAGAAGCGGCCGGTTGGGCCGAAGTGAAGGCCTTATCTGAAGCCTGTTTGGGCCGAGAGTCGCTGACCACACGAATTAACTGAGCTGGGCCTGAACCCAGTATGCCTTTTCCCATACCTGTGTCTTCTCGCATGATGTCCTTTCCTTTATTATGGATTTTGCTCACACCCGTGGAGATGTCTCTTTCTTTACCCAAAGCATTCCTTTTCCTTTCTTGTCTTAGTGAACGTTGACGTTCCGGGATTTTTGACGTCGTAGTTGCAGACGAGGCAATCTCTCCATCTTTAATTTTAACATCTCCTTTCCCATTTTTGTTTGTTTGCCCTTGACTCCCGTTTGCCCAGCACATTTCCCTAAATATTGGACAACCCAGACCAAACTCATTTGGTTATTTTTTGTTGAATAACTCATTTGGTTATTTGTAGTATGTTTATGAGCTGCTTATTCGTTCCCTAATAAATGTGCTTTTTGGGCACCACATTTCCTTATTTGTTGTTATAATACATGAGATGTCCCCCATTGTTTTGCTTGAGTGTTGGCACCAAGGTTTGCTTTTATATATGTTGAGAATGCTATGTGGAGCAAGGCTGGCATATGAGAAGTATTTGTTTTTATGTATTTGATTTGTAATTTTGAAGAGAATTGATTTTGTATTGGCTATATATGAACAAAATATTAGGAATTGCTATATCAATTTTATTTTTGAAATTGAGATTGAATTTAAGGTATTATGTTGTATTTGGAATTTAAGTATTTGGTTGTCGGATGCCGAGACCATACCAATTTCCGCTCATAGTATCATGGATAAAGAACTACTGCCTCCCCATCAACATATGCATCTCTAACCAGTTACCAATGCTTATCATAGTTTTCTATAATTAGTCTTTGATTACAATATGGACCGCGAGAGAGCAGAGTGTACCGCCCTGCATAGTCACGAGAGACCCATTGTTTCAAAGGCAACTTAGATCGCAAATGATAGTGAAAAACATGCAGTAGGATACTTCATGGCAGGGATGGCAATTTGAACTCGCCCCGTCGGATTTTGCTCGACTTGACCCGCGATGGGCGGGTATTACCCGATTCGTAGTAGCGTGGGACGGAGTATGGGTATCTACTTCCGACCCGTCATGGCTCGTTCTTTGCACATTTTATCTCAATTTCTTATAGTATCTATTCATTTTCTCATATTCTAATTTTTCTTCAACTAGTTAGACTTGATCTTTCAACTTGTTAGACCAAATACCCATCCTATTATCGCTATTTTCCATTAATAAAATATTTTCTCCTTTGTTTTATCGTAAAAACTAAAGTTTCGTGTGTATATTTTTCATATAAAATGTAAGAGTGGGTCGACCCGCCCCGCCCCCAAGCCGGTATTACCCGCCGCAACCCGCCCTATTGACATCACTACTTCATGTCAGAAAAAATTATTGCCACCTTATGGAATATATCTAGCTTATCATGGATTTATTTACTCAAGTTCCACTCACATTGAGTTGAAAAGCAATTATATTTTGGTTTAAGGTTCTTCATCCTAGTAAAAACATCTTATGTTTTATTGCATTAGCTAGCATCATGTAAGTTGAGTTCCAACGGTTCTCGCAATTAAGGATCAACTTCTAACCAAACTTAGTACGCTATGGACGAGCAATAATCTCAAAACTTTTCCATCTTGTTGGTGTCCCGAACCAAAATTGGACACTACTTCGAATGTTCTCAATTGTTGGTCCAATAACCTTAAACCCTTCTTTCACAATCAAATTCAGTATATGCGCTGAACATCGCACGAGAACTATTGTACCTCCAAATCGAAGACTCCAATGAAAGTTTCTCTAACACTGCAAGACATAGCTACACAATATTCTAGAATCTTGGTATGATACGATGATTATAGATTAATTGAAACAATTACATGAACATATATTTATTTACAATCCCAAAAAATTACTTTACTGTATTGTGCTAATTAACTATATTATTATATGCAAAAATCAACAGGAGATGTCAAAGGAAGAATTCTGGTTGGGAGAGCAAATATATATGAAGAACCATGGAAAGCAAAAGTAGAGCTGCCAACTTCATTTAATATTTGATTGTTTTAAAAAAAAATCACATATTAACATTCATTTTTCTCTTCTAGTTATTTTATTGATAGGACATCATGTTTTTAAACATCCTTCTTTAAACTCCTATGGAATTTGAAAAAGGTGTTGCACTTGGTGGTACATTGCATAGGCACAAATAAACTCCTATGGAATTTAAAAAAGATGTTGCACTTGGTCGACCCGGACCCGCCTATTAAAATGGGTTACAACCACCTATTTGAGTGTCAGCCCGGATTTGGTCAAACCAGATGAAACCAGGTGAAACCCGGGCGGTTGGCCCATTGGAGGGGGTCAGCCGCTTCTTCTCGTGGGGCGCCGTTTCTCGTTGTGCCTCTGGGTGCGGCGTCGTTCTCTTGGCTGATTTCACCTGGAGACTGCAGCAACAAGCAGAACACTGGAAATCGAAACCCTAAATCAATTTTGGCCTCTGGAAACGAATTGGCGACCTCTGTTTCTTCTACCACCCTGGTGCTCGCGCGACAGTCGGGTGGTCGGCATCGTCGTGGTGGCCAAAGAGTGGCATGATGCGAAGGGATGGTAGACGCGAAGGTCACCGTGGAGATAAGGAGGCCGGTGGACTTGAAAGAGATGAAAGGTGATGGTGAGTTTCATCTTTCGTAGCGGTGCCGGTGGAGGTTTGGGAGAGACTTTGTGAATTGGGCGGTGGGTTCGAAAGAGATGGGAATGTAAGGGCGGTGGCGAGGAGGATTGAACGGTACCCACCAGCTAGGGTTTCCAATTAATTGCAAAAATTTGGGGATGGTTTTGTCCGTTTATGCAAAATCATATTGAAAGAATTATTATTAGCTTTCTGATTATGCTTTGATTTTTCGCTTATCATCATTTTAAGTGTTGTTAAATTTTTATTATGTTGGATTTAAGTTTATGTTATATGATGAATTTAAGTGTATGGTCATAGCCATGGTTGTCATGCCGGTGGCATGCCACCCGGTTGAACCTGGTTTAACCTGTGCCGGTCATGAAATCGGTATGACACCACCAGTATAACCGGTATGATCGACTTACGCATTCTAAGTTTAATGACATCATTTTAATGAATTTAATGAATAAAAAAAATAATTTATTATTCATTTCATGAATGTAATAGTTAAAAGTTGATGATATTTGTTGGATTGTAACTAAATTGTCCACAAATATGTTTTTATATATGATTAAATATATTGGATATTAATTTTTCATATTTTTTTAAACCGGCATGACCGATACAAACTGGTTATACCACCGGTCGTACCATTTCATTTGTCAAAGCGACACAACTGTATAAACCGGTTTGACAACCTTGGTCATAGCTATTTGAAAATCTCTCGTTTTTGTTTCTCATTTTTCTACTGTTACCCTTTCTTCTGCTTCTTTCGATCCCCAGATTCACTGCCGACCACATTCAAGACCGATTTAACGGCCATCCACCCGTCGCCGTCGCCTCCTCATCTTTCATTCATCAGCCATCCACCTGCCACCCTCGCCCTATTCTTGAATCAAATCTGGGGGTTTGCTTGGCAGAGGCTGGTCTCCATCACAGAAGCCAGTGTCGGTTTGTCTCCATCGCATAAGCCGACGAGGGGTTGTCTCCATCACAGAAATGGAGGGCGGAGTTCTTATTCTGTGCATCTCAAAACCCAGTCACGATTCTCCATCCCTCTCCGACGAGGACGGCGATGACAGTAAGTCCCGGACGCAAAGATCAGCGCCATTGATGCGCTGCAGAAACCCAGTCGCAAAACCCCCTTTCAAATCGCTACTAGAAACCGTAAAAAAATCGCCAACAACAACACAACAATCATTTTTCCTTTTCCCACTTTCCAAGGAGCTGCTGCGGTGGTGCTCTCTGTTTTCTCTTCAAGCGAAGGGAAGTATTCCGGCGAGCCAAGTCCGTCCGATGAATGGTTCAAACGAGGGAAAATGGTTAAAGCTCATCCAGTGTTTGGTTCTAAGGAGAAAGCTCAGGACCCTATATTTGGGCTCAAGATGGGTTCTGCTTCTCAGACTTCTGAAGACATTTTCAGGTATCTCATATACTTCGGTTTTAAAAATCGATTCAGTTGGTGTTTTAGGTGTTTGTGAGCCCAAGCAAAATGAGAAGATCGATTATTTGCAGGAATTGCCGATTGAAATTGTGCTGTCTCTCTCTCTCTCTATATATGTTTGATTTTGTGCAATAGATGGTTTTGCGTGGAGAGTGGAAGTGCTGATAGCCCTACTCTTGTTCTGGTTTATTGTTTCCAATTACTGCTATATCTTTTCTACTCTATTAATCAGTTCGTATATTATTATTATACTTGGAATATTAGTATTATTTATTGCTTTCATTGTCTTAGTAGGATTTGGATTCCTTTTTAGTTTTTGTTTAGGAATTGGTTATTGTTACCTTGGGGGAGAAGTAATCATGTTTTGGGTAGGAAAAGGAGAGGTTTCGGATGCCTATATAAAGATGTACTCAATAGTCAATTCTCAAATCCATACCTGCTCGCCGCCGGAAAGTTTAACCCTCATCTCCAGTTCGTCGCTGGATCAAACTCCGTCGGTTGAAATCGTTGAGCCAGCGAAGAAGATTATCGCTGTTTCTTTATTTTCTGTTTTGAGATTTGCTGCAGTTGAGAGCGTCACATCATGATGAAGCTGGCTCTCTTGAAGGAGATTCTACCTGCAGCGAAGTCGATAGTTTCAACCGTTTACGACCACTCCAATGATCCATGGTTCAAGGAAAGGTTCAGCGTGGTGGAGTCCGAGAAGTTGGTTGCTGTGACAGGTATGGTTGCGCCTCTTTATTTGCAGCGTGAAGGTTTTATGCCCAGGAAAGTTGATGACTTTGGGGATGGGGGTGCTTTCCCTGAGATTCACATTGCTCAGTATCCTCTTGATATGGGCAAAAACAGATCTGCAAAACCCGGGTTGAAAATTCTACCAGTCAGTGTTGATGCTCATGGCAATGTTGCTTATGATGCCATTGTCAGACAAGACGAGATTTCAAACAAGATTGTTTATTCACAGCACAAGGATATCATACCAAAGATTTTGAAGAATGAAGAGGAGAGAGAAGATGATATGGATGAGGATGAAGAGTTGCAGAAAGAAATCGAGCAGACTACTCAAGAAACCAAAGCCGCCCTAGAAAAAGTAGTGAAGGTGATGTTGAGTGCAGCACAGCCCAAGAATGTTCCCCAACACAATTCGGAGTCCAAGTACATAAAGTATAAACCGTCCCAACAATCTGCAGCTTTCAATTCGGGTGCGAATGAAAGGATTATCAGAATGGTGGAGATGCCTGTCGACCCACTCGAGCCACCAAAGTTCAAGCACAAGAGGGTCCCAAGAGCTTCTGGATCTCCACCTGTTCCAGTAATGCATTCCCCTCCTAGGCCCGTGACCGTCAAAGATCAACAAGACTGGAAAATTCCACCTTGCATCTCGAATTGGAAGAATCCCAAGGGTTATACGATACCCCTTGACAAGCGTCTTGCTACCGATGGTAGAGGCCTGCAGGATGTGCAGATCAACGACAATTTTGCCAAGCTATCCGAGGCACTCTATGTTGCAGAGCAGAAAGCAAGAGAAGCAGTTGCAATGAGATCAAAGGTTCAGAAAGAAATGATGATGAAAGAGAAGGAAAGGAAAGAGCAGGAACTCCGGGCTTTAGCTCAGAAAGCTAGATCGCTGAGAACTGGCACTGCGGTAGCACCCCCAACTTCTTCAATGGCAACTCCTATGGATGACATGGATACTGGAGGGGATTATGATACAGTAAGAGAGAGGCAAAATGATGCACCACCTAAGGAGTCAAGAGAGGAGAGGGAAGGACGCCTGAAACGGGACAAGGTCCGAGATGAATGGAGAAGGAAGAGAGAGAGGGAGAGAAGGCTTGAGGCGAAAGATGCTGCCATGGGGAAGAAGAGCAAAATCACAAGAGATAGGGACCGTGATATCAGCGAGAAGATTGCCCTTGGCGGGGCTGATGTTGGAAATGGAAAAGGCGGGGGAGAGGTTATGTATGATCAAAGACTGTTTAACCAGGAGAAGGGAATGGATTCTGGGTTTGCCACAGATGATCAATACAATGTGTATGATAAAGGTTTGTTCACTGCTCAGCCAACACTGTCAACGCTGTACAAGCCGAGTAAGGATGTGGATGGTGAGATGTATGGAGGTGTGGATGAGCAGTTGGATAAGATCAAGAAGACAGAGAGGTTTAAACCGGACAAGGCATTTACCGGTACATCGGAGAGGGCTGGCCCCAGAGACAGGCCGGTGGAATTTGATAGGGAAGCAGAGGAGGCTGATCCGTTTGGTCTGGATCGGTTCTTGACTGAAGTGAAGAAGGGGAAGAAAGCTATGGATAAGGTAAGTGGTGGTGGGACAATGAGAGCTAGTGGCGGATCTTCAAACCTTGATGATTATGATGGTGGTTCTGGTAGATCCCGTATTGGTTTCGGGAAGGGGAAGTAATTTTATGATGCTCTAGATATGCAGCAGCTAGCTAGCTTGCTTGCTTGAGTTTTTGTTGTGTACTATTTCTGTAGTGTTTGTTTTTGTTTGCTTTGGAACAACATAAATAAAGTTCTGGTTATTTAAATGGAATGGGAGCGACTGGTTTAGTCAGTTTCTGTTTTGTTTGATCTTTTGTGGGATACATGCTGATTGATGTCCAGGAGTTGGTCTGGAATGTTGATGTTGCTGTAAGTTACTTTGCTACGTGATTTTCAGTTTGCTTGGGCTTTTCTCTGGCGTTGATTGTCAAATGAATGGGCATCAACAGCCTATAATGCTTCCACTATTATTGTAAATGAAAAACTTATCTAAAGATGCAGTTAAAGTTTCACATTTTATTCATTTTTAAATAATCGAAGATTGAAAAGAAACCAATGGGTCAAGTTGATCCTTAATCGAATAATCAAACTTCCGCTCGGATCTTGTAGGTATATATCCCATTCTCCGATTTAGGGTATCAATGGCTGTAGTCGCTAATTTTGGGTTCTCGGCTTCCTGTTGTAATCACTTTTTCATGGTTTTACCTCTCTTACTGTTAATACACACATGTATTCACTGGTTTTCTCATAATCTTGGGTATTTTTGGCAGGATTTACTACACGAAAGTCAGGCTGGGGAGATAGATACAGGCAGCGATCTGCTTTGGGTCAGTGCCAAATCTTGTGCTAACTGTTCGCGGTCGAGCAGTTTCGGGGTAAGTGGTTCTTGGACTTGTTATTGTGCTAATGGCTTTGGATCAAATTTATGAGAAGAATTGAACTTTTGTTTTCAAAACCCTAGAGATGAATGCAAAGAGATGTAGTGGGGAATGAAAATACTTAATTGATAGCATATATGAAATGACAATTCAAAAGGATGTATATATCTCCTAGCTTAGTGGAATGATGTGAATGGTTGTCCTACTACAAGATGGAATGGCAGACAGAGTATCAAGCATTCCATGCTCTGATTTGCACGAAACAGCCCTGCAACAACACACACCAGTGATGCAAACTAAGAGCTTCAACCAACAGTAGTAAATTTGTACTCCCCAATGACTCGATGTATGAAAGAAAATCCTAAGGCGTCGTTGTTGCATAGCCAAACAAAATCCTACTCAGTCGTGGCTCCTGTTGATTCAGAGCACCCTTAGCCACACTCTAGTTTATGCAGTTGTTGAACAGTTTGTGCATTATCTGGTCCCATGAGCAGCTGATGCCTTTAAAAGTTCTTGCTTTAGCTCTAGCCAAATGCTCCAGATGGCAGAGTGAGGCAGTGGCTGCATAAACTGTGGAAAATATGTACCTTTAGTAAGGTGGCTCCATTGGTTGTAGTAGATTAGCACAGCTTGAAGGGATGGCTCCTCTGATGTTGATTTTTTCTTCATAAATTTGTTTATTGCTTGGATTTTAAATGATGAAGCTGTTGCTCCTTTTCTTCCAAGACAAACTCCAAATGCGCTTTTCTTTGTTCAAGGTCAATACATGATCAATCTCTTCATTCTAAATCAACGAATTTCTTTTGCTTGCTGTGGAATCTATCCATCTTCATTACATGTCAATAGATGACTAAGTCATCATGACTTGCTTGCTGTGAAAAGCTTGAGATGCTCAATTCGAAAAGCTTTGACTCCAATGATTAGTGCCTTCACTTTCTTTGCTGTATGTGGAATCATTATTCACCCATATTCTTATGATTTTGTGCAGATTGGCCTTAGGTTTTTCGATGCTGCTGCATCTTCCACCGCCAAGGCGGTCCCCTGTCCCTATAAATCTTGTCCAAATCGGTGTACAAAGAATGTAAGCACCTACCAGTCGGGCACGCTAAGTGACTCAGCCCTCACTGTTGACGGGATCTTTGGACTTGGCCAAGGACCTCTCTCAGCCATCTCACAATTAGCGTCCAGAGGAGTAATACCGCCAGTCTTCTCTCATTGCTTAAAAGGAGAGGGCCTTGGGGGTGGTACTTTTGTTCTGGGAGAGATAACCGAGCTGGGGATGGTCTACACTCCACTTGTCCCAGCACAGTGAGTACTTTTCCTCTCTATTTGATTGAACAATTTTCATTTGAGTAGTGTATCATTTACCATTCTACTGCAAGGTATTGTTGTTCAATTGCCCGGGAAATTCTATCACTAACACAACTTCGTTTCTATAAATTCGCAGGCCTCACTACAATCTATATCTGCAAAGTATTGCGGTGAATGGACAACTGTTGCCTGTCGATCCGGCAGTCTTCGCTACGTCAACTGGTCGTGGAACTTTTGTGGACAGTGGGACAACCCTGGCGTACCTGGTGGAAGAAGCGTACGAATCATTCTTAAGCGCTGTAAGTACACTCTTGTGTTTCTGTCCTTTTTATTTTTTGATGAACATGTGTTTCTGTCTTTTGTGTTGCTTTTATGTTCTGTTTGTATTTTGCTCTTAGTTGGGTGGTCAGGGATCATTCCCCTTTGTTTTTGAACAGACCTTCCCTTGCATTGCCTTCCTTGCTTTGTTAAGTTTTCATTTGTATAATTGCGCACCATTTTATTAAAACATAAGGTAGAATCAAAAGGAAGAGAAAAAGACATATAATTTTCAATTAATTAGGATGAGTTAGCTTCTACATCTTAATATTCTGAATCCTATGACTACTATGTATCTTTGGTTTTTCCTTGAATCTTAAAACATGCGGCAAGCCTGCAACAAATATCCTTTTCGCACGAGGATATGAGAATTCTATGGACTATACATGATTGGAAGCAGAATACATTGAACTTGTTGTTATTGCGTAGTAAGCTGGCTGTATCAGTTGTGACCCTCTTGCAACTTGCAAGAGGCTCTTGAAGCATTATTAAGAATGCCCTAGGTATTAGTCTTAGTAGTAGAACTAACTGTAGGTAAGAGATGGAACCAGTCCAGCAGAACCAGTATTTCATACAACTCACTGCTAACAACAACCTATACAAAAGAATATGAACCCTATCAATCACATTGTGTTATGGGTCACCATAACCTATACAAAAGAATATTAATCCTATCTCAATCACATGACGGGTCCAAGGACCGTTTGACGGTCTGTATGAGTCTGTCGGCATAACTTGTCTCGTCAGCCGCCATAGAATCCAGTAGATGGACAAGCTCCTGATCGTCCAAAATTAAGCGATGGACTGCAAACCTTTCACTATCACCTTCATCCACATACTCTTCTCTGGTTTCGCAAATGCTCAGCAATGTTAGGAGGCAGATATTCTTCATCTTCCTGTCCTTTATGGTCTTCACAAGCCGTATCAGAATAGCTGTAATTTCATCGCTCCTACAAAGTACGGGTGCCCCTTCCGGTGTCTCGCATAGATGGCTAAGGAGCTCCAGCCCACATTTCGTGTTGACACCTTCCTCCCCGGATCTGATCATATCAATGAAGACGGGAACAACGCCTAACAACCCAGGGCACAAGCGGAGCTTCCTTCGCTGTATGGCTAAGATTGCCCCCGCTGCCTCAGTTATTGCCCCAGTTTCAAGTAACCTTATTAGTCCTGGTAGGGCGTCCTCTGCTTTTATAATTTCATCATGCGAGCCCAGCTGAATTATTGTGTCCGCTGCCATACGTTTGGCAAAGAGCGTGGTGGCACCGTTCAGGACTTCGACAATGGATCTAATCCCACCTGCCAGTATTCTTCTTGCCCCGTGGAGATCCTTTGAAAGGATTGGAAGTGCACTAATGGCAATCTCCTGCAGACCGGGGCTTGATGCGCCATCTAAAATTCGAGAGAGGGGTTCCAAAACTCCATCTTCCACTAAGGCTGCCCTGTCATTGATATTCCATCTGGCGATCAATTGAACCTCGTAGGCTCCCTTGGCTACGCTCTCCACGTTTGGTGAACACAGTTGTCCCACTAGAAAAGATGACAGAATCTTCCTCACCGTCACAGCTGACCTGGTGCAGTGACCTCCCAATTTTGACTCGTCGGGCCTTTTTGGCACCGGGTATTCTGTTTCAATTATACGTCGGATCTCCATGTTCGGCACCATACCCATGTCTCCAATTGGGATTCTAGTGAGGGGACAAGAGTCATTCCCATCTAGAATCCACCTCTCAATTGCAGAACGATCATACGTGTGTCCAGAGCACATCAAGATAACTGGATCGGACATAATGCTCAGCGTGATTGGACAAATCACACAGGGTATGGCGGATTCTTCACAGCTTGTCCTGGGATACTTCTATGTCCACATTGATTTGTGGGAAATACACGACCCTACAGTACTTGAGAAAGGCCAGCAGATCAAGCAATTCTTTTGTTTCCGTTCTGCCCATACACTCTGCGCTTTTATTCTCCAGGTGCAAACACTGCTCATGGCAGTCACTCCAGGTATCAATCATTAGATGCTCAAGAACGTAATTCACATCATTTTTGCAAGGTTCCTTTCCACTCTCTAAACTACAGGAAATATGTTCCAGATGCTGGAATGCTTTCTTGTCCTGTTCTTCTACTGTAAACCTTCTAGTGCAGGCTCCCTCAGCAATGTTTTTGCAATGCTCCCTCACACCTTCGGGCAAAGTCAGATGCGGCAAGAGGGTTTTCAATTTGCTTCCCAATAGCAAGGACAAGATTCTCAAACGAACTTGCTACAAATTTTGATTTTAGGAGCATCCATGCTCCTGCCTCCTTCCTGGAGCACTCACTGACAAGGTAGAGCACTTCCTTTAACGCAAAATCCAATTCTGAGAAACAAGGGAGCAAGTTCTCCCGGTTATCTTGAGGGAGAAAGATTAAAGCTTCTTTCAAGAATTCCGAAACTTCATCCATCTGAACCATGACCCTTCTTATATTGCTTCCCTGACTGTAAAAATATTCCATCTTTAGCCCGCTGACTGCCTTTGCCCGCCGGATCACACCCTTCAAAGAAGACTCCGGCAGGGTATTTTCAGGGGTGTCCAAACGCACAGCCGTCGATTTGGGCTTCATACTAGGGCTGTCTAAACTAGGGCTTCTCAGTTTCTGCGGTGACCGGAAAGGAAACGGCGGCGAGTAGCAGCGGAGCAGAGAGCGAGGAACAGAGTAAGAAAAAAAGAAAGAAAGGAGGTGAAGTGCGTTTCGGGATTTCTCTCTCTTGTTGTCTTATTTTGTTTGTCAGAGTCTCTCGTCCCTTATTTGTAATATTCAAATTGGGTCTCGACTCTCGACCCAGCAACAGCAAGTATATCGAAAGTAAATTGTGCCTTTAAATTTAAATATTTATCCAACAGGCGGAATGATTTAGCGGAAGGAAAGCAACCAACAGGCGGGGGAGGGACAAAGGAGGTGCTGGTCTGCTTCCTCTACAGATTTCAGGTTTGTTTCCATATCCTGGCTTCTTTTTGTCGAGTTGTGCGACCATTTTCATCCTGGGTCCTTCCCATTCATATTCTTCTTCTATTAACTGAAACGACCTCCTGGTGGATGAAATAAGGGTTGTTAATTGGGGGCGAAATTAAGGTTTAGGGTTCTTTCTCTTTACATATCGACGGAATGAAATAGCCAAGAGCCTTGGATTAGGTCGTTTCTCATTAGGTCACTGAGAAGTTGTGGTATAGATCTAGTTTTTTGTTTGGTTTTCGTTTGTTATGCGTGTAAGCTCTGGCCAAGTTTTGTCTGCTTCCTTCCTCTGTGCATCTTGATGAATGATTGTATGTTGACAAAGTCTCTTGTCTTTTGGGTTTTCTGCATGTGTTCAAAGGGTTTAATTGTTCTAAGTCTAATTATTCATGTATCTCATATAGGATTCATTTCACTAACAGCTAATCCATCGCCTCTCCCCTGGGTAATGATTATATGTATGAGATTAAAGTATCCAGCCTACATGCATTGTCCTATCTTCTAGATGATGTTGATCAAACTAATTAACCCAAGAAAACTTAATAGCACTGCTGCAGTTGGACTTTGTTCAGTCAAATTGATTAACTAGCTAGTACTGTCGATGGAGAATCATAATCCCAGTTCTATAAATATTCAATAAGCAGCATTCAAGTGGATTTTCTTTTCTTTTTCTAGAGTAGTAGTTGGGGCCTTCTCCTGCCGGCTATATCTGTTTGTTCGGTTAACAACATATATATAGAGATAGAGAGACAGCAGTGCCTTGCTTGGTCCACCTCTGCATTCACAGGATCTAGTCTCAACTTTGGAGTGAATCTCTGCAAGTGAGGACCATGAACCAGTAGTGTTGTTGTTCTTTCTTTCCTTTGTTTTGATTTCCCTCAGGACGCTTCTCTCTTTCCAAAGGCTTTTCCTTCCATGCCATCATCTTTGAATGTGTGCTGAAATGGGTAATAGAGAACTAGTTTCATGGAGGTAGAGAAAGTGAGCTTCTGAGCCAATTGCAGTGAAGGGTAACGGTCTCATGACTTTCTTTTTGTGAGAATCATAATGTCAATTTTGCTCAGTGATGGATAATGTAACTCACAGATGAGAGGTTGCATGGTTCAGTTCATAGCTAGTCTTTTCGCACCACTATAGCTCTCTTTCTGTCTCTCGATCACTTTCTACAAATGAGCATCAATCTTCACCAGCCCCCCTCGACGAAGTAAATGAGACACTGATGTTTACGCTGCTACTACATGCATCTTCTTAGGGTATTTTTTTTGTTCCAATGGATTATCTAATCTGGGTCATTATTCGATTTCATTAACTTACAGTTTCGATTAGATTGATGTGGTATGTAGGATTCTGTATCAGCTGCTTTGGATCAAAGTTTTGCTATGTAATAGCTTACTTAGTGATATGTTAGGGTGTAACAGGAGTTGTCAGTTACTTTTAATATGTTGCCAGTCTTGGAAGTAGTAACACTAAACTCTCACTGTTAACATTGGAGGGAATTTGAGTGCCACTATTAGTAGTTTGAAGCACAATTGTTTGGAAGGAAATTCCCTCCTTTAGTGGTCTTTTGCTAGCTTCTGTATTTTAATAGCTCTGTTGTAAGTGCAGCAGAACCTCTGGTGTCAGAAGTGGAATGGTATACTTTGATGCAGGATCACCGCTCTCATTGGCTGGTGAATCTGCGTTTTTTAAATCAACACAAGAAAGTGGAGTGCATGATTGATAGCTTCCCTTCTTGCTTGCAGTCAATGTGTTCAGTAAGTCAAAGTTCAAGTGGTTTTAAAAGTTGAAGGAGCTGCGGATGGTAACTATAAATGTTTCACCTCGTAGGAATTCGCCTTAACGGTCTTAAATGATATCCCCAATTAACAGTTTCATTGTTGTTTGAATTGTCTTCTCACTTAATGCTGGAAATGGATCATTGCATTTCTGTTAGCTCTGTGAATATTTAGAGCTTATCAAATCAGATCTCTGGTTTCTTACTGTTATAATTGCGGTACAACTGGTTGACCTTGTTTCATCAGTTTATGTTCTGATTGGGGAAGGGCATGGTCCAGAATTGGATCAAAAGCACATTTGGTGTACTTTAGTTCAGTCCTGTCTTGCTTCGGTCCACTTTTTTCTTTATTTTTTGAAATATCCACCAAAACGAAACAGAATTGAATCAATGCAATGCGTTCTGTGTTGATCCGTATTATCTTTTCATGTAGATCACTAAAGAACTTGCTCATTTTGACTTATCTTATCTGAATGCAGGGCCATTTGTTCATACTGTCACACTGAGCTTCATTGCATCAGAAAATGGACCAGCAAGGACTCGGGCAGCCCCCATCTACAACTGCCGGCCAAATGTCTTGCCCCTCAAACCCATAGAATGCAAACCAAATCCTGATTCCTCTAACCACTGCCAACTAGCTACTTCCTCAGCTCAACCCTCAGGCTCTCAGCTTGCTCAGCATCAAATGGCCTACCAACAAATCTACCACCAACAGCAGCAACAGCTCCAACAACAACTCCAGTCCTTTTGGTGGAACCAGTGCCAAGAGATCGAAAAAGTCACCGACTTCAAAATCCACAGCCTCCCCTTCCCAAGAATCAAAAAGATCATGAAAGCCGATGAGGATGCGAGGATGATCTCCGCCGAGGCTCCAGTAGTTTTTGCTAGAGCATGTGAGATGTTCATACTTCTTGGTCGATATTGTTCCTAGAGAGGATTTGAAGGACAAGGTTCTTGGTTCGATTTCCCGAGGGACAGTACCTGTTGGTGGCCCTGGCGATGGTATTCCTTACTGGGCACAACATCAAGTTGGAGCTCCCGGGATGATATGGGTAATCTTGTGATGAATCCTTCGACTATGTATGCTCAGCAGGGAATTCCATATATGGGGCAGCCCATGTGGCCGCAGCAGCAGCAAGGGTCCAAACAGCAGCATGAGGAATTGTCTTCTGATCAGCATTAACTATGCATGCCATGGAAGCTGATCAAAAGTGTAAGTTTCTTAATTCGACCAACCAATGCGATCGTTTATATAGAGGCTGCCATGCTATGGATCACCCTAATTGATTTTCACTGTGTTCTTTCTCATGTCATATTTCAGCATCATTTGCCAATCACTGTGTATTATAACAATGTAATGATAAAAGAGAGGTCTAGCGAGGAACCGATGGGAGCAGGCAACAATGAAACTTTTAGTTGCAGGTCTGTAACAGTGTAAATATAGTATTGCTGGTAATTAGAGGAATATAGCTTAGTAGTCGCCTGAACCAGCTATGTTCGGCTGCATACAACTTGGTTGCTTTAGTTAGTTGCTTCTTGGGAATCATGCGTAATACAACTAATATATGTCAGCTGCAACTTGCCGTTTTAGATTTAACTAGGTAGGGATGCCGCGTCTTGTCGCGGACGGAGATGGCCTATGAACATGTATTATGTGTCCCCTTATGATGTTTTGTTAGTATTATTAGCGTAAAAATAATTTTTTGTTAGCAATTTTTGTTAGTAATATTGGCTTGACCATATGATATTGACTGAGAAGAGAAATATGACGGTCAACATCCAATTTAAAATTTTTTGGCTTGTAAATGATATTTACTTAAATCCAAGTAGACCCATTGATTATATGTAGGTAATGGGTGACGTATATATGGGTTTGGAAGTTTGTAGATGGGTTTGGGTAGGGTTTGGATATTTACTTTGATAATCTAAATGTGTATGAATACCCATTTATTCAAGAGCGTTTAATTACACATACAAAATTTAAACCTATTTGTAGAACTTTAAAAGTTTAGGTACCAAAATGTAACACACAAAAATTAGGTACTAAAATGATGTTTCATCAACATTTTGAGGACTTATATGCAAAAAAATAAATTTAGATTATAAATCTAAAGATCTATGAAGTTTAGTTACAGAACTATGATTTGCATAGTTGATGTTTAATTCCTTTTATGGTGATGTATTTAAGATGATAGTCATTTACTTTTTTGTTTACAGAAAAATAAAACTATTTATTTGATATGTGTAGATACCTAGACAAACATTACATGTATAATTGTTGAAAATTCTAGCCCGGGTGGAAAAGAAAAACTATATAGAGAAGCAAAACGAATACAAACCGAAACTCACTCAAAATTTCACCCCCTCAAATCTCATAGTGAAAAATGACGACTTTCTAGTAAGTAATAACCATATTTATTTATTTTTTAGTGGAATAGACAATGAGCTGAAAAAGTTAGTGGTTCATGGTTCAATTATTAGTTCTCTAGACTGTTGGTGAGTCGTGTATGGACCCGTTTATACTTGTGATTAGAAAACATAAAAATAGTATACTAATTAGGGTTAGACGAAGAAGGCAAAGAAAGAAATAAAGAAAGGTTTATGGAGGGCGAGTGAAAAATGAAACGAAGAAAAAGTAGATGATAGAAAGGTTTTGACAATTTCATTTAGTTGAATGTCAATATATACAACAATCAATCCTTTTCACTGTAGCAATTTATTGACACTTGCTTATGTAGATGTGGCATATTTTGTTACATGTAGTTAATAGAAGTTTGTTTAGTACCCCGTAAATGTACTAAATGATTTTAGAAATTCGCTCTTTTAATGTTTTAGAGTCATCTCTCTTTAATCATCTATTTGATGATTCACATAATTAGCAAATATAAAATGGTCGAATCTTCTCCTACGGTTGAGTGATACAACATCTTGTATTATACAAACTTAATTTATACTTTTATGTTATGGTGGATTGGATTTAATTGGTTCAAAAGGATTGGTGGATTGGATTCATGGATTCAAGTGAAATATAAACATTGGACCAATATGTAAATCTAAAATAAATTGTAGGTATGAAAATCTCTTAAAATTTAGATAACAAAACATGATTGTTCAATGATTTTACATTAAAATTAAATTTGGGTATCAAAATGTAAAATGTACATTATAATGACTCAGTTGTGATTTAGTTAAATTTGAGGTATCAAAATGTAAATAATTAGGCAACAGTAACTTTGCTTCTTCTTTATATATAATAATGTTAGTTGTTGAACCACCTCAGTGAGTTACAAGGCCTGCTAAACTCACTTTCTGGATACTTGTTTCTGGCCGTTTCAATGACAATTTCACGATCACTGCTTATGCTAATATAGCCTATGTTTGGCCCCGCTTTTAGAAGTGATTTCGGCTTCAACGCACTTTTGTATAACATAAAAGCAGTCCGATTTGGAGCTTCTGCGAAAAGCTGTTTTGAAAATACAAGATTATCCTTACCATATTTTAATTTTATTGCAGAAAATATAATTTTCCTTCATTTATATCATTTTAAAAATAAAATAAATTATAAAATCATATTATTTAATATAAAAGAAATCTAACAAGATCCATTTTGACTACTTTTTATTGTTTAGAATTTTTATTTATATTTTTATATTATAAGTCCTTTATAGTCATTTTACACAACCGCTCATATTATAAAGCACTTCTAATAGTTTTACAGCCAAACACTAAACTGGTTTTTTTGAAAAGTACTTATCTAAAAGTTCCAGCCAGAAGCTGCTTCTGCAAAAGCTACAGCAGGGCCAAACTAGCTATACTTTCTGATTCTCCAATATGGCCCTGAATAAACAAAGCTAATGCCCAGTTCACTTCCCATTTCGTTTTTTGTTTAAACAATAAAAAACAAGAAACAAATGACAAAAAACGTGTGCACTTGTCCATCTCGTTTTCGTTGGAAAAAACCAATTGTAACAAATGGGAAAGCTGTGGATAAACATAAATACTCGTTTTCTATAAACAAGGGGACGGGTTATTCCCCCGTTTCCCAGTAGAAATCGTGCGCTCTCCATTAATGAGATCCCATGTTTGAATCACCGCGGCTACTTTTTTTTCTCTTTTTCCTCCGTGATCCTATACAACGCCGGTTTTATTTTTATCCAACTCTTTCATCCACCCCAACCCTAGAAGAACTCTTCCTTCAGCCGACCTCTCCTGGACTCCTCCCATAGCAGCCGGCCGCCACTTCCTTCTCCACCCAAACCACCAGCAGCCCCATCCATCGTCTTCCTCGTCCAGCCCCGCGCCGCCATCATCTAACTCCCTGCGTTCGAGATCCACTTCCCGCGCCTCCATCATTTTCCTCTCCCTCGCTAGCCCCACGTCGCCATCATCTGCGAGACGAAGGATTCCCCGACGCGAGAAGCACCGTTCGACCTCCATCATTTTCCTCTCCCTCGCCGGCCCCGCGCAGCCATTATCTGCGAAACGGAAGATTCCCCGACGCGAGAAGCTCCAGCCGACCTCCATCATTTTCCTCTCCCTTGCTAGCCCCGCGCCGCCATCATCTACGAGACGGAAGATTCCCCGCGCGAGAAGCTCCAGCCAGTGGAAATGCAGCTGCTTGCGACTCATTCCAGTAGAAGCAGCACCGAAGGAGCTTTCCCCTTCTCGATTCCTCATCCATCCAGCAGAGAAGCGGCTAGTGATTCCTCCTCCAGTACCGAAGCTGCTAGCGATTCCTCCTCCAGCCGCACATCTTCCTCCTCCTGATGTCGACCCATTCCAGGTACTTACTCTTCCTGCTAGTGACCCGATCCATGCTTGCTTGTGATGATGAATTGGACTGGTTTGGTCATGTTTTGTGCTGCGAGTTTGATTGTAAATGATGTTGTCTTCTTTTGTTTTGTTTGATGTCAATGTGTTGGTGATCTCTTATTTTGTATTGAATTGTTGCGTGATAAGCAATGGCTGATAATGATGTCGAAAACAATAATGATTGTGTCATACTTGAGGGAAGTGAGGTTTGGCCTGATAAAGTAATGGAGTATTTCATTGCTTTGATGCTCGAGGAAGTAAAGAAGGGGAACAAACATACGACAACTTTCACTAAATTGGGATGGTCCAACATCCAAAATGGGTTGAAGATTAAGTTCAACAAGGACTATGTCCCCAAACAGTTGAAGAATAAATTTAATTTGATGAGGAGGAAACATCGGGAATTCAAGGACTTAATCAGTCAGATTGGAATTAGTTACTCTGCTGTAACAGGAAGGATTGCTTCCTCTGATGATCAGTGGAAGGTGTGGAACGAGGTAATTGACATTTTTCGTCATTGTGATTGAATTGAAAGTAGTAATTACGAAAGAGGAATTGATTAGAATGTTGCATTTGCAGCGATACAAGACGATGGGGACTATTAGGAAGCATGGATGTCCAGAGTATGCAAACCTATGCATATTATTTGGTGATACAACTGCCTGTGGTGTGAATGATGTTGCTTCTACTCGCGAGGTCTCAGATAGTAGTGGTGAGCCTAGCAAAGCAAAGGATGTGGATCTTGATGGTGAAGAAAATGTGGGTGGAGTCTCTGGTTGTGCCAAGGAGACATTGCCCAAAGTAAAGAGTAAAGGAAAGAAGAGAAAAGCAGATAGATCTGGCTTTACTAATGCAGTGGAGAATGCCATAATTAGCATGGCTGAAGACTCCAAAAGGAAGAGTGAGAGGCGTGAAGCCAAGGAGGCCGCCTCTTCTGTTGGAGGACCTATACATGATGTATCTTCACAGGATAAGGAGCTTGACATTATGACTGAATGCATGAATTTATTAGATGACATGGAGGTGGATGCTAATGTATTTGTGAAGGCTTTCGATGTTCTACATGATTGTCCACTGAAGAGGGGACTTTTCTTGCGTATGACAGAGAAGAGAAGGAAAGAATGGTTGTTGAGTTTAGTGTGACTATGAGTGTTTGTTGAGAACTGCAGTGACATTTGTTTGTTGAGTGTTTGATGAGTTCTTACTATGATGTTTGATGAATTTTAGTATGATGTTTGATGATTTTTAGTATTGTGTTTTTTATTTGTAAGAATCTTATGAACTAAGTTGTCATTGAACTTGTATTGCTGTTGTATTATCCATTTCTAATGAAGTTATTATGCATTGCAGAACTTATGAATTTAGATTCAGATTCAGATTCCGATGAAGAGTTGAAATTCATAATGCTTGTGGCTTTGTTGGAGGATGAGCGATCTAAGTCTGTTAGGATACCATGTAGAACCTCAGACAAAACAGGACATGCTTGGGTTCAAGAACTTCTCCGTGGGCATCCGATTAGGATATATTAATCACTCTGAATGGATAAAGAAATTTTCTTTGCTTTGTGTGAGGAATTGAAGCAACATGGTGGGTTGAAGGATACCACTAATGTGATGGTCGAAGAACAAGTTGCAATCTTTCTGAAGACTATAGGTCACGCAAATGACTTCCGCGACCTTGCAGAACGGTTTCAACATTCTACTGCAACCATCTCCAAGTACTTTAATCTAGTGTTGAAAGCAGTGGTTAAGCTTGCAAATATGGTCATTGTTCCCCCAAATTTGGAAGTTGTTCCCGAAAGAATAATTGATTCAAAACATGATCCATATTTCAAGGTAAGCAATTCTCTTTATGATTGAGGATTAATATTCGAATGTACTTTAATTATGACATTTACTCACATGAATTTAGGATTGCATCAGAGTAATAGATAGATTTCATATTGACGCAGTGGTTCCGATTGGTGAGCAGATTCCATATCGAGGACGGAAGACGACGACTACTCAGAATGTAATGGCTGTTTGTTCTTTCGATATGCTCTTTGCCTTTGTGATGGCTGGATGGGAGGGTACATCAAATGATGCAAGAATTCTTACTGAAACAGTTTCCAACCCAGATAACAACTTTCCCATGCCACCAATTGGTACGAAATGCTTGTCTCTTTATTTTAGTAATTATAGTACACATCTTATATGACTAATTGATTTTATATCTTATAGGTAAGTATTATGTTGTTGATTCTGGATATGCAAACATTCCTGGGTTTCTAGCGCCATATAAGACAAAAGAAGCACGTCATTTTCAAGATATCGATCATGGAGGTGGACCAAAGACTCGTAAACAACTTTTCAACTATTATCATTCATCCCTACGCAATGTTATCGAGCGTTGTTTTGGAGTTTTGAAGGCTAGATTCCTCATTTTGAAGCATATGCCTCCTTTCGCTCTCAAGAAACAAGCACACATAGTTCTTGCATGTTGTATTATACATAACTTTATTAGGATACACTCTGGTGACGACACTCTGTTTGAAGAATATCAAAATTATTGCACGGGGGAGAATGCCAGTGGAGTGCAAGGAGGATAAGAACGAGAAGCATATAATCATAGTTCAAGCCAAACTCGAGCGATGGATGTACGACGAGATGGAATAGCAAACAAGTTGTGGGATGACTTTCAAGTTGGACTTATTTGAATTTTTATGTTTTACTAGTACTTAATTAATATAAGATGTTGTACTTGTATTGTGTTTATTTGTAGTTTAAAAACTATTTAATTCGAATTAAAAATTATAATCATGGCTAGGGTTGTATGATAATCAAGAATCAGAAAACAGAATGAAGCAACTAAACAGGTTTTCATTTTCAGAACTCAGGTTCAGGACTCACCAAAATTCTCAGCTAAACAAGGTTTTCAGGTTTTGTTTTCCAGGAAATGACAGTGTCGTTTTCATTTTAATTTTGTTTTCTGTTGTGGCCACTAACAGAAATGGAATGGCAAGTAAACGGCCCATAAAATTAATTTTGTCTCTGACGTCCCATAAAAAATTGTCTCTGACGTTTTTTTTACTTGGTTACTTTGTTTACTTGAAACGGCGCCGCTTTCGTGTCCAAACGTTTGCCGCTAAAAACCATGCCCAATAAGAAATGGAGGAGAAGAAGAAGCAGCAGCAGAAAGCCAGAAACCAGAAGAAACTTTACCCGTACAGGTCCGGATCGGCAGAGCCGTAGACAGGGAAGTTGGCGACGCCGTCAAACAGACGGGCGTGCCTGGCTCGATCCTGTGCTACGTGTCGCTCAACGCTCACTGATGGTGTCTTATCCAGGTGGAGGACAGTAGTACTACAGTTCAAAGCGACGAGCAGCACCGCCGCCGCGATCAGTAAACCCAGAAAGGAAGAGCTGTTAACTCCCATTTCTTCTAAGGAATAGGGTAAGCTAAAATAAAAGGGGAGGCAGATAGTGCAGAGGAAGACGAACAACAGAGGAGAGTATGGAAACAAGAGATTTTTTTTATATGGATACAGCTGATAAAAGAGGTGGTTTTCGTTGATGAATAAGCAAATTGCGAGAGGGATGGAGCTGAAGTTTGGAAGAAACTGGAAAATGGAGGCGATTTGGTTGATTACTGACAGTAGCGGAGGCAGAATTCGGAATTACCCCTGTACTTTTTCAAAATATAAAATATAAAATTTAATAATTAAAATTAAAATTAAAATTAATAGATAAAGAAATAAGCGATTAATACAATTATTGTTTGCATAAACAACCACGACGAGTTTTCATATTACGAAAGAATTACAAAATACATTAATTGTTTAAGTGAGCTTCTTTCGATATTCCCACTAAGCAATCATTAACAAACTGATCATCAATTCGACTTTGAAACTTGTTCTTAATATATCAATCTAAAAATGCTCTTTTTACGTTCGGAGTTGCAACTGGTAGTATCAAAACTTTCAGAAGCAAATAAACTGACTGATATAACCTATGCACTTTTGTCTCCACCATGATCTGAGATCATTTATCAATTTCTTTCAATCCAACAAATCTCTCATCAGCCATAAAATAATTATAATACCCAACAATCAGTTGTCGAATAATAGTGTCATGAATGAAACCAATAAATTAATTATTTTTTGACAATTAATGAACAATTAATGAATTATATTTTAGTGCCAACATATCCTTATATTACTTGTAGATGTTGAGTTTATTATCCGTTCACACATATATAGGATTATTTTTTCCCCTCCCAAAATTTACCCCTGTCCTGGGACAAGGGCAAACTGCCCACCCTCCGCCTATGATTACTGATCAAGTTACTTGTTTAATGGAACTAAGATTTAGAAAACAGGGAATTTCTGAGAAGTGGAAAACAGAGGTGGTTTGGTTGATGAAACGTTTGGAAAACAGAGGTAGATTGGTTGATGAAGGAGCAAGCTGCAAGTAGAATGGAGCTCAGGTATGGAAAATAATGGATTTATGGAAAGCAATGAAAACATAGGTGGTTTGGTTGGTGAAGGAGCAAGGTACAAGTACAATGGAGCTCAAAATTGCAAAACAGAGGATTTCTGGAAAGCAGGGGAAAACAGAGCTGGTTTGGTTGATGAAGGAGCAAGCTACAAGCAGAATGGAGCTCCATTATGGCTTCCCATTCTCTTCCTTACAGAGACCTACAACATTTTTTTGTTTATGGGGGCTCAGATTAGTTTGGCGAAAATGCGCGCTCATCGCCCAAAATAAGGATAAGTTATTGCATTCCAGCGCTACTGGTTGCTAAAATAAGATAAAGAACCCTGTTTTTCATTGATGTTTTCCAGTAGCTATACTTGCCGCAATGCTCCAGCCAACTGTCGTATAGAGAAATAGAGGAGATAGAAATTTATCTGTTACACGATGATACCTATACACCATTCATCATTGAAAGTAAGGAATTACCTAATTCGCAACCGTGATCGGAAGAAGTCAATGCACCACTATCGGTGTTCGTTTATGGCAACCGAGAGTGAGAGGAGATAGACAGCTACAACAGTCCATTTAAAAAAAAATGGAGCTATTTCTGGAGGAATCTTTTGTAAAGAATTACCAAAATTAATGTCATATCCACAGAATTACCAGCTGAGCTTTCACCACATTGTCTGAGTTTAGATTTTCCTCTGCCTAGCACGTTCTTGCTTACTAGTTTCTCAATAAGGATTATCCTCCCTGTCTCCAAAGGATGTCGATTTGACATTCTTAGTACTTGATCTTCTCATATGCCGTAAGGTACAAAAGACTTATTTCAACTGCTGATCCTATCTCTCTAGTAGCTACAACTAACCAAGGAGCAAGAGCTGCAATTTCCAACCTACTAACTCAGTTTTTTCTTTAAGCTTTGTGCCTCCTTCGCCACCTCGCCTCACGTTCTCAATTCTACAATAGAATTTTGGGTAAATACAATATATTAGCCAATCCTTTGATCTTAAACAAGATAATAGCAAAACCTTTCGAAAAACAAAATAATAGTCAAACCGTTGACTTTCCATCCAATTGATCGTTAGTTGACTCTGACGTGACAACTTAATTGCTGAGTTGAAAATATTTATATGACGTCTCATTTAGTCAATCTTTTAATTCTGCTATATTCTATTATTTATTATTAAAAACTCTTACAAGCCACAAATCACTTTCATTTATTACCCGAAAAAACATAGAAAAAGAAGGGGATGCCATCGCCGAAAACACTCCGGTGCCGCCAGCCGCCCTATTCCACTCTAATCACCGCCTGTCGCAAACGCCCTGGCCCTGCCACTCCTTCCATTGAATTCTGTCACGACCCGAAATGTCGTGACTGTGTTGATCGTATGAAGAACGGTGCCATCTGGTTGTCTTGCCACGAGAAGGGTGAAGGGGGCGACATTAGCGATAATGCGTTGTCTGCCTGTGCATCGTTTCTGGCCGAGTTAGGATGTGGCTATGAAGGGGACCGTTGCAAGAGAAGGCACAACTGATCGGAGGCTATTGCCATCTCCCTGATGAGCCCAAGGCAGGGCGAAACCAGTTGGCATGCGTATGCAGAAAGGCTGGTCTTGAGGAAGGAGTGCACCTCAAGACGCCGCGCGGACTTCAGAAGTCTATATTTGTGACAAGTGGTATCAGAGCCTGGTTTCGATCCAAAGACCTGTGGGTTATGGGCCCACTTGTCACGGACATTAACTCTATGACATGTCAATTAAAAAAAATTAAAGTAAGTTATCCCTCATCTCACCATCGTTCTCTAGGTAGGATAAACAAATCACACTGTGCCACTAGGGAAGAAAATCCTCCCACCGCGTGCCCAACCCCGACATTGTCGATCCGAGTCATCCCTAGTTACTCGCTGTCGCCGCCGTTTTCGAAGGCAGTGAATCTGTGGTGTCCTCCGCATCCCTGTCTCCAGTCCGCCGCCTTCACCATCAATCAGGCACCGAGGTTGTTTCCGCCATCAGCGCCATCAATCTCCTCGACTCGTCAGCGAGGTCCCTGTTACTATGGTCGTCGATCAAATTCCCGATGCGCCACCGTTGTCTTCTCCCGCCGCCGCTCGTTGTCGTTTCCTCTCAGTACTCTCACCTCTTCTCCGTCAAAACATGGATTCTTAGATCTACACTCCAGAATCTAGACCCATGATAATATAATCCAACTCCACCTTCGAGATTAACGACAAATGATTCTCCTTGTCCCTCATTCCTCTTCTAGGCTCGTCTCAAAACTTGGAGTTTCTTGAGCGGTGCCGGCATCCGGCAAATTCGCTGTCTGAAGTGACGAATTTCCTCGATTGGAAGCTGAAGAGATGTCGTGGAGCTCGTAGAATCGGGACTTCCATTCGCCGATCTTCTCCTGGCTTTTCCTGACCAACTCGCTCTTCTCCGCCTCCGTCAAATTCGGCTAACGAGTTGTCGCGCAAAGGTTGCCATCGCACTTCCCGATCTTGTAAGTGCAGAAGGCACGGTGCGGCCGAGGAAAGAAGGACGAATCTCAAGTGGAAGGGAGTTCGCCTAGGATCCATCAGCGTCATTTCCCTTAGTTGGAGCAGTGGTGGAGATGGATCTGGATTTGTTGCTCTGGGTGAAAAATGGGGAAAGCAAAGAAGACGAGTGAGGGGAAATGTGCTCCTCTTATTTTCGTCTTATTTTTATTTTTTAATTATTTTAATTGATATGTCATTGAGTTAACAGCCTAGTCAGCAGTTCCATTTACCACATCGTCAAAAAAAACTTAACGGAATTAACGGAGACTAACGGTGGGTGACTAACGATGAAACGATTCGCAAAGTTAGTGGTTAATAAGAAAGTAAGGTAATTTGGGTGGCAAACATGAAAGATATATGTAATTTGAGTGACCAAACATGTAATTTAGTCTCTCTAGAATCATCAAATCAATGACCACACCAAAGAAAAAGAAAAGCCAAGTAGCTGGCCGAAGGGAGGTGGTCAAATGTTGTACAAAGATGAAGCGAGAGGAATCAAAAGTTGTGTGTTGTTCGTTGCAGGAGTCAGTTTTGATAGAGTAATCCATTCGGTCACAATGGAGAGAGGAAGGTCAGATACGGAGTGGCTGCTAATATTGGTTATATACGAGTGCCGGAGCGTAACTAGAAGTATCGCAAGTGTCAGCAACATCATCAAACACTCATAGTCGTTTGCTACAAATTGCGAGGAAGCTTCTTCATCTTTGATCCGGGTTGAGTAAGAGATTGATTTGTCGTCATTAATTCAAACCTTGGGAACAAGGTTTTTTTGAAGGGGTGGAGGATTGTTACGAGACAAAGATTCGAGCTAAAACAGATTGGCCCAAGCTCGTGAATTTGCCACGTCTCTGCCCGATCATCATCATTCCTAGTTATAATTGTATTAGTAGGATAGTAGGATAGGGAGAGTAAGGGCCAAGTAATGTGGCCGACTAGGATTAGGGTAGCCACATATTAGGTTTTGTGGTCTATATATGTGTACTTTGGCTTTGGTTCATAATTATCGTTGATCAAAGGAAAACAGTTTATCTTTGCGTATTGTTATTAATTTAGTAGTTCATAGATAGGAGTAGTGGTAACGTAATTTGGGGTTGTTCTCGCCATTAAGGAGAGCCTCTACTCAAGAGCGTCGAGAAACGTATCCAAATTTCGCGTGCAATGGTTTCAAATGGGAAATTTACGTAACAATTGGCATCAGAGTCTGGTTGCTCTATGACTAACGTGATCCGGGAAGATGGCGCCAAAGAAGGCTACGCAAGCAACGTCGACCTCTAACCAGCCGGCTATCGTCAATGAGCTTCTCCAGGCTCTCCTCCACGCGCAGCAAGATGCCACCGGGCGGATTGACAAATCGGCCAACGTCAGCAGGGAGTCTAGGAGGGTGTCCTAAAAATTGGGACCAGTGTGGCGCAACTTCAGGCATCCATCGCGTAGAGTCAAGCATCCATGGCACATCAACTCCAGGACGCAGTGGCACAACAACATGAAGCTTTGTTGGAGATGATGAGGCAACTCATCACGAGCTCTGGTGAGGAGAAGATGACAACAAGTCCTTCGCCCAAACAACGCTCGACCGCAGACGTCTCTGCCGGTGAGGAGCTAACCGTAGTTACTTCATCATCACCCGGTTCCACTGATGAGCTAAATGTAGCACCATCATCATCACCAGCTGCCAACGATGAGCTAACCGTAGCTTCATTGCCACACGTTGCTCCACAACCAATTGTCGTTGTGCCCTCGACTATCGTAGTGGAGGAAACCGTCACCACTGCCGCACGCTTGACATCACGTGTGACTTCACCAGCAACTGTCACCCTCAAGGACAAGGAGGTAGCCGTAGCTTGTGAGGCACCTTTCGCAACAACGAACAAAAATTCCTTGGGCCAGTCAATGAAGCTTCCACTACATCATCCATAGACGACAACCCATCATCACTATCAACCGCTGACTTGCCATTAACGTGCGGCCCATCCATGATGAATGTGGAAGAAGCTAGGTGTGAAAAAGAGCCCCGACTTGACTACGACCAAGGGTTCAACTCGGCTGTGTGTCGGGGTGGAGACTGAAGTTGTTGGCACTGTCCCCCCACCGCCATCTCGTTACTCTCGGGGTCGACGAGGGATGTCTAGCTCCGTGCATTGCGCCCAACTGCCCAAGGGTGCCACTCTCGAAGGATTGGTAAAGGTAAATCGATGAATCGAACTTGCAAGTATCGTCAGAAGGGACCCTCACTCAGATAAGTACATGCTCAGCTGAGCTTGCAAGTCTTGGCAGTCAAGAGCAACGACGCTGCGACATTGGTTGGCAAAACTCTTACGTGGGCACCACAATGAGCTCGATCTAGTGTGTTCAGTGCATGAATTGATGAAGGAGATGGTCGTAAGTCGCGTCAAGGTGGAAGGAAGCCGTGAAATTAATATCTCTCAAGCGGGACCAGGGAAAAGATGAAAAATGTTGTGGGAGAATAATCTCTGACGATGGAAAGCACGGTTGAACAAGATGAAACCGCGGGCGGCGAGCAGGAGCGTGAAGATGTCGGGATGACCGTAATACTTGGAATTCCGTCGTTGGTCGCCAAAGGACAAGAATGCGAAAGCATGGCAGTTTGAGAGGGAATCAAGCGAGAACGCATGTGGAAGGGTTAATTTGGCAGGTCCTAAATTATGAATACCTTACGGTGTGGGGATCGTGGAGAAGCGTCGCGTGCGAAGTTGACGTGGGAAAGCGGCAGCGGCCAAGGTGGACGTGATCAATGTAGTTAAAATTGCAATTTTACGTAAAATAAAAAAATGAGACAAAATCGAAATCACAGATTAAAATCGTAAGATTTAGAACACCAGATAGTAATAAAAATGCATATTCTGAGCAACAATCAACCACCGGTAACTTAATTACTTCCCAAGATAAGTTTGTTTGCTAAATAAATACAAGTAAATCCCTAGATTTTTTCTTGTACATAACATAAACACACAAATAAGCAACCTGAAATCTCATAGAAATCACTCATTAATAGTTAAGAGTAGAAAATCACATAAGATCATTAGGATCAATACTAACATCTCTTACACATCATCACCCTCACCCTTACCCTCGCACTCATGATCACTCTCATCCTTGTCTATTTGCTTGAGGAATGATATCATTATTCTCATGATCATTTGAAGTAATTTCTCCATTAACCATATTTCCTTGATCACCATCATCTGGCAAAGGTAACTCATTGATTGATGCATTCCATTCTCAATTGATAAAAGGTCGGGGATAGTGGTGCTGAAGGATTGGGAGATGAACGAAAGTTTGCAATGGAATTGAGATTTGGATAATTATGAGGGTGGTGGGAATAAACTACACGCTTATTGGATTAGTGGAAGAAATCGTTGATGGAAGGAGTTGGGCGTCGACGTGCGAAAGAGGAAAATACGAGGAAGAGAATGACAATAAATTGAGGGTCATCTACCGGGTTAGGGGTTCTGTTGTTCATTATGTTGGGTCGAGGGAAGTAAAATTAACCCAGTTCATAGGCAAAACCCGACTTGACCGGCCTAATTTTGCTCCAACTGATATGAACCTTGAAATCGTACAAAATTGTAGAAATCATAGATTTTAAGGATTTTTGAGTTTTAAATCGGGATTTTATGAGATATTAAGGTTCAAAGATTTTATATAAAATTAGGATCGAAACCCATACGTAAGATCGTAAATCGTAAGATTTTAAGATTAAAATCGAAATTTTTATCAAGTCACGTGATATGTTCTGGATGAATGGTAGCTGAAACGGAGGAAATTGAATTTATTCTTGAGAAGCTGTGTGACCAACGTGGCATTATTGATCCGCTTGATTGGTTTGAAGTCCATATGAAGAGGGAATTGGGGAGAGACTCATTTTTGGCTTTCTGGGAGAAACAATGGACAATTCTCAAGGGTATAATTAGAAAATGGCATCATTGTTCTAGCATGGGGAAAGGATGGGACGTGCATGGGAGTGAAGGATGGCGTACTCTTGTGGAGAGTTTGATTTACGTGGCTAAAGAAAAATCCGCTCGAGTTGGAGCCACAGTGCCAAGGAAATTATCCTGAGTACCTAAGTGTAATTGGAAATATCGAAAGCGCGGATAATTATGTTGAACACTCACTGCCGTCCACAACAAGGTGTGAGGAAACTTCTTCATTTTCGATCCAGGTTGAGGATGGTTGCGATGACCAACCTTGAGGGAGAATCAAGCCATCGTAACTATTGGGTCTCGATCTGGGCTTGCGTATCTTATTATTTAGTATTTATTATTAATTGTCTTTATTAGTGTTTCCTTGTTTAAATAGGATTTGGTTATTGTTAGTTAATTCCTTACAGGAGTAGAAGTCATGTTCTAGATAGGAGAAGGTAGAGGCTTCAATGCCTATAAATATGTACCTTGTCTTTCGTTTGATGATATGTTGAAGATTGAAATCCAATAAGAGTTGTAGTTATCTTCGTTCCTCCGAATATTCTCTTCGTTCTAACTCTCTTTTTTACGAATATCTTTCAACATCGAAAATGCACGTTATGTGTAGATTCTCACCGGATAAATACACGTAACGTATGATGTTCTTGTTCCTCTCATTTCAAGTCTCTAGATAAGGAAGTGGCCATAGTTGTTTTTTGGCCGCCGCATCAACATTTTTCAATTTGGGTTCAATTGGAGGTATTTATAGGCTCGTACCTGAACCGGCTCTAAGATGTCCAATTGGTGGGATAAACTTGCCATTTTGATGCAAGATCGACAACATAACCTGCGGCTGACACCCTAGAAAGTAGAAACAATGGCTTAATTTATATTTTGTCATTTTCTCTAATAAACCCCAACGAATTTGTAACAAGATACTTCTTTCACTACAAAAAAGGGCTTTAACGAGGGGGAAAACTGTCGTTAATTGCACAAAAATCGTCGGCAAAAGTCATTAACGACGATATTCTACCCCTCATTATAGGCTTTGCCGGTAAAAGTCAATAACAACAGGAAAACTCTATCAGGTCATTATAAGTATTAATGAGGCATATTGAACCAAGCAGTTAGATAATGATGTGCAGCCTGGTTGAGCTGACAATTCACAAAAATATGGCATATTGATTTTGATAAGACAATTGCAATTTTTTTTACAAGGTCAGTTCTATTTCAAACTAGAAAGTGTACAAAGAGGGTGGGAGCCCAATGGAAAGGCAGCTTACAAACCAACATGAGAGAAGAGAAACCCACATGCCCAAATAAATGCATAAAACTCTAAACCCAGCCATTACAACTGAACCCGGGCCCAAAGCCTAACACACAAGTTGAGCCCAACAAGAGGAGAGCTCTCAAACATAATTGCTTTGCCAGAACCATGAATCAGCTGGAACTTGGAAGCTACCTCAGGACACCGACCGCCACACAATCACCACGATAAGGAAGGCAGACTATTTGAGCTAGCCAACCCAGATGGAAGACCAGAAAAAGACAAGCACGATGAGAGCCAAAAGCTCGTCTTACCCCAACCTTCGCCAGACCATTAGTCTTCAGAAGATCTCCGAGCAAACAAACACGAGACCAACCTCTGATCAAACAGGCATCCGACGGAGAAAACAGAGGAGGACCATCTCTTGACTTCTTATCTCGCAACCGCGTCTGAGTCGGCACACAAAAGAGGACTACTGCATCTCCGAAACACCGAGATCTGCTGCGGTGAAGCAAAGAGGCAGACGTGGGGCGAGAAGATAAGAAGCCAAGCTGATTTTGGAGCCAAAACCAGCCTCCCTTTGCTACAATGAGGAAAAGGCTTTCTAGATCTGCAGATTCAGATTAGAACAGCAACCAGAGCATCTCCGAAGAGACTAGAAGGAGAGATCCAAAAAACAGAACAAAAAAAAGAGAAAGCAAAGCGAAAAGCGGGAAAGCCATGCAAAGATAATGGTGAACGGTGGGCTACAGTCGGTCATCCGGAGGTGTTCATCAAAGGTGCACTATGAAGATTTTAAAGCAAAGTATTTTGGTTGGAAGAGCAAATATATATGAACAGCCGTGGAAAGCAAAACTAGAGCTCAAGGTTACTGAGGGCCCCATGAAGCACAATCCGCTTGACTTCCGCACGGTTTGCTAACATATCTACCTTATGCTCCAATTTGATTATTGTTTCTACCTGTAGTTCACAAATTTGTTTGATTTCGATAATAACGAATCACATTATTGGAGAAAATAATCTAATTCTTCTGTTTAAATAATAAAAATTTACTTACTTATGTGCACTCATACAATAAGGATGGAAATACACTTACTAGAAACAACAAAAATCAAAAGCAGGATGTAGAACTTCTTAAAATAAGTCTTCTCCATTATATTTGAATATGGATTGTCACTGGATGAATGTATGAATTTTTTTTGTTTCTCTATGAGATTTCAATAAGTGATTTATCTGATATAAAAGCATTATTATGTTTGTTTATATAAGAAGTAACAAGGATAGAAAATTTGAAAATACCATAATTATCTTTTGGACTTTTGGAAAGTGATAAATGTATTGCCATTAGCCTCTCATTTTTTCTAAAAAGGGATTGTCCACTCCCATTGTCATACATGATTTTCCAAAAAAAAAAAAAAACAAAATATTATCGAGTAGGAATTGAGTATCTTAAAAAATAAGTGAAAGACTATTTTTCGCTAACAAAATTTTAAAATATTTCGAATATAAAGTTTTCAAAATCCTATATCAACAAACATCATCGCCAGTCAGACCAAGCGTCACCGCTGACTAGCATTTCTCACCTCCTGCCATACCAAACGTCAACAATCACCAGCTAGGAAACCTCGCCTCCAACCTTGACTGAACCTTGGACCAGATGCGATTCTCTTTTTCAAGGTTAGTCACTAGAATATTAAATTCCATTCATAGTCACTAGGATTAGTTAAACCGTCAGTTTTTTGCTGACGTGGCTAACAAAAATGCTGAGTCACCAAAAATTAATTTGAAAAAAGTAAATTCAACCACCACGTCATTATATTGGCAAGACCCAACCTGCAAATTAAACCCATCAATTAAACCACCCAAACCCATTAAACCAATGCCATTAAACCACCAACAATGAATAAAAACCCAACCTCTCATTCTCCTCTAGAAAATCCGGCGCCGACCTAAACCTCTTCCCTGCCCACCACCATCTCACGCCCAACCTAGATCAATGAACCCACCACAATCTCTCTTCAATGGCACATGCAGGAGGAAGATGCAGAAATCATTCGCGGTGCTCATCGGGCTGGCATAGTAGATCCTGGCGTTCATCTTCACCCCACGTCGAATCCAGATCCGACGATGATGCCTACATAGCATATGTAGAGTGGAAGGATGGTGGGTGCTGCAATTCCGACTGCTTGCGTTTGAAAATGTGACAAGGGGGAGAGTAGGGAAGACAAAGAGGAGGGAATCACAGATGGTGATTCGACGCCGTTCGAGAAGGGAATCCATATCTAGATTTCAGGGGGTTTCAGTTGTGGTTCGAGGTGGGAATTTTACAGGTAGCCGACGGATTTGGATCTGACGAATTGGAGGGGAGAGTGAAGCACAGTTCGGGCTTCCGCACTTTGGTTGAGCGGGAAAGAAGAAGACATCGCTGGAGAGATGGCATTCGCGGCGACGGCTCGAAGAACGGAGGACGTTTGGAGGGGCATGCCTTCTTGATAATCTCCTCGCAGAGATCTGGCGCGTCAATGGCAACGACACCAGCCATCATCTGCTTCTATTATCTACTTCTTATGCCACTCTAGAACCCCAATTCCAATTCAATATTCCAGTTTAGAATTCCATATTCCAATTTGGAGACAAAGGAGGAAGCGACAATGAATTTCAATTTCAAGACCAAGCCATCAACGAACGGTATGCTTTTCCCTACACAACTCAACTCTTTTTTCCTCTATTTTTGCCAGATTTGTTTACTGGTTAGGATTAATGGGTCTATCTAATCTTGTTTCCACTTCTTTTTCTTTGTGGAAGTTGTTCCTGCTTTTACGGTTGTATTGAAGGCTGCCTGCACTTCCTGCCGCTGCCGAAAAGAAGAGGAAGAAGGTGAAGAGTCGGGTCGGATCATTGGTTGGGTTAAGTTGGGTTGGGTTAATGACGTGGCTGGTCGGGTTTCAAATTTTTTGGGTTAAAATTGACTGATTTGGCACTTCTGTTAGCCATGTCAGCAAAAAACTGACGGTGTTGACAGAGACTGACGGAGACTAACGGAGAGTGACCAAACTTGGAATGTTTAACTAATCCTAGTGATCATGAATGGAATTAAATATTTTCAATGACTAAACATGAACGTTTTTAGTAATCCCGGTGACCAACCTTGCAATTAACCCACTATTTTTCGCTAACAAAATTTTAAAATATTTCGAATATAAAGTTTTCAAAATCCTACATCAACAAACATCATCGCCAGTCAGACCAAGCGTCACCGCTGACTAGCATTTCTCACCTCCTGCCATACCAAACGTCAACAATCATCGGCTAGGAAAACCTCACCTCCAACCTTGACTGAACCTTGGACCAGATGCGATTCTCTTTTTCAAGTGTTTTGACGATGTTCCACCAAATTTTGCAATTTTTTCGACAAAGATTACGATTTTTCGACAATAATCGGCATAGTTCAAAGGTTTCGGTCGCCAAAAACTTTCAAACCATGCCAGGCAATTGCGGAGAATTTTAGCGCAAGTTGTGAAACCATCCCAAAAAACTGTAAGAACCGACTAGAGCACCAGACAATTGGCTAGCTTTTTTTAGTGTTAACGGGGAAACTTTTGGCAAATAACTTTCGCAAATAACATGCCAGTGCAAGACTATTGGCTAGAGATTTTTAGCCATGGCTTAGAAACCGTAACCAAACTACTGTCACAATGAACCTACCAGTCATAGCTCCATGCATGACACTGTGTTCTATTGATTAGCCACTTGTTGAGATGCAATTGACCATAGTCTGATGTTTGCTCCACTGATGCAAAAAAGCGTCGCAAAAATTTGGGTCGTTCGGGGACCGACACATGGTCAGGGTTCGAGCAAAATTATGGTTTGGGGAAAATTAGGTTATGACTGAATGTGGAGTTACTTTCCAAAATGTCTACCCTCAAACGGAAAACAATAGGGTGTGGCCAAATTATGGTATGATTTAACTAGAGTCAGGGGTTGACCAATTGCGAACGACGTAGCGCAATAGGACACAGACAACAAGAAGAAGAACTGATTCGACTCGACCATAACGAATAACGCGACAGCAACAAGATCAACAAGCATATCTTCTGCCTGCTATACCTTCTACCCATCTCAAATTCTAAATCCTATTCCCCCCCCCCCCCCCCAAATCACCAATATTAACCTCGATCCATCCAATCCTACTATGATGTCATCTAAGAGGCCGAATCGTCTCAACTTCGAATAACAATGATAGTTTTCTTCGTCAAAATACTCATGCTTGGCTACGAAACTCCCTATTTCGACCCCCGAATTCCCCATAAACATCAATTGAACGTTTGATACAATTCATCTTTTTTGCCCGTGTCCTCCGATTGAGAGATGGTCGATATTAGCATATTCAGTTCCACATTTCAAGGGGTCGATGAAGGTTTCGACCATTACCCACATTGGTAGCTCGAGATATCGCGAAAAGATCGAAAACCATTATGGGCCGAAAAATTACAATGACCAATACCTGGTCGGCCGGGAGTTTTCGAGCAGCCCTTTTAGGTAGTTGCCGTGGGATTCTTTTAGCTGGGCTAGATCGGGCCGCCTCAATTTGTTCAGTTCAACAAGGTTCTACCTACCAAAATTTTGCAGTCTAACCGCTTTTCGACAACTTGGATTTTTCGGCCTAGTGATCTGCCACAACATATAAAAGAGTACGTTGTTGGTGGCAACTAATCAGATGGATGCCAAAAAATACAACAACTTTCGACATCTCTCGCAAGTTTTCATGTGAATGTCAATTTTTTCGATTTCTGGAAGTTAGGGTAGCTGGATATATGTTATAAGTTATGAATGGTCCCATTGTCGTGCACTTCAAGTAATAGAGTCCTAGTTTTAGTTGGAAGAGGAAAACCCCTTCTACCACATCAGTCACAACTAGATATTCAAGACTGTGCACTCGGATAAATAAGAGTTTTGGGTTCTATTGTCAAGACATCCAAAATTAAGTAGATAAAAAAATATTTTGACTTTTGAATTACTACGATTCGAATCAAATTCCGATCCTAAATTTTAGTAGTTTATTTTCTCGAGAGATAATAGTCATCAATATGTTGGCATACTCCTATCTATGTCGAGTTAAACACCCCTTGTTATTTTTTTTTGGGGGTACCTATGTATATCCATGCTTTAGTTTCACTAATAAATATCATTATTAAGGTCATGGTAGTGATTTATCTCTCTTGGTTACTTACATCAATCGCATGCATGACAGTGTTATGGGGCAATCCAAGTACCACATCGGAAATATAAGGGAATGAACCCTTGTATATTAATGTCTACCATGCTCATTAGTACGAGGCCTTTTAGGGAGGACACCCAAAAGTAAATCCGTGCGGGCTTGGCCCAAATCAGACAATATCGTACTAATTGAGCTCCCCGGTTATGACAAGTGGTATCAGAGCCTGGTTCGGTTCGGGGCGGTGGACGTCAGTTCGGTAGACCCTCATTCAGTGACCTCAGGATTTGAGATCTACGGTTGTATGGCGGGTCAAAGGTGATTCACATCTGTTTGGTGGATCCAGGAGAGATCCACGTTTGGGCTTGGCGGATCAAAGAGAGTTCCGATTTTGAGAAGCAGATCAAAGAGAGTTCTGCGTCTCGAAAATCCTTGTACCGAGAAGCCCATCGATACAAGGTGTCTGGCGGATCAAGATAATCGCTGAGGTGAGGACACGAAGTTAGTGGTCCTTGGCTTGAGGGGAGGATTGTTATGGGACAATCCAAGTACCACATCGGAAATACAAGGGAATAAACCCTTGTATATTAATGTCCACCAAGCTCATTAGTACAAGGCCTTTTGGGGAGGATACCCAAGAGTAAAATCGTGCGGGTTTGGCCCAAAGTGGACAATATCGTACTAATTGAGCACTCAGGTTTGACAGGCAGAATAAACATCACACATATATGTGATTAGTATCAATGCTCAATGCATAATAGATAAGAAATTGTGTATGCATTGTGCAAATTTAATCAATGATTATCCTAGGTTTGACGAGACCTCGTGCCTAGGACATTCACTAGAACACCAATACAAGAGAATATTCGAGTTCTTTACTGAGTATGCTACTCATGATTGCACAAGTTAGTTCAATTACTCTTATTGCATGTTGAGACCTTACCGAATAGGGGTATGGCCTAAGAAGATTTGAAGTTGAATAAATCCAAGCCAATCTTCTTTAACCATATATACTATTAGTGATTATAACCAAGGTTCAAAAAAGCGCTATGCGTAAGGTGAGCATTTGACTCATGACTTGCGCCGTAGTCTAGGCATGTGTAGGACTTCAGAGCATAAATGCAAAAAATTCTTAAATGTTTCCTGCCTTCTAGAATACTTCATATTATCAAAAGTTCATATAAAATTAGAAACGCCTAGTTCTTAACAATTAACACTTAACATAACAAATAACAAGCAAGTAGTGACCATTTCCTAGAAGCACATAAAAATGTCAAAACACTAAACAATAAGCACATAGAAAAATTTTCATTCTTCATCATCCATGTAGGTCCGTCCAGTCACCACTTCATCTTCATCGTCCTCAAAAGGAATCTCCTATCCATCCTCCTCTTCCTCCTATTTAGTCTCGAATTCTTCATCATGGAGCTTTCTCAGTCTTGCACCCTACGAAACTCACTATATTCACTAGCCATTGCCTCTGTAACAATAATCGAGGGTGTGCACAATCTGCTCCCCCATCCTCATCCATGAACACATACATAACATAGTCTACCCTCCCTCAAATAGAAAACCATGTTCTTCAGGTGAGTAAGTACTTAAGAGAATACCAATGCTCTTATTCTCCTTTATCTTCTTCTTGTCAACCATATAATATTTTACTAACTCAAAAAACTTTAATCATCTTCTTCCGGAGAGGAAGAAAAGAGTCAGACATTCGGCAGGAAGTATATTACTCTATGAGTTTTGAAGGATGGGAAAATAGAGAGGTTTACTAAAGTTTTCTTGAGAACCAATCTATCAACTTCTTTGCCTCTTGAGACGATGCAATGAGTTGGATCAACGGTGTGCGGGTTTAAAAATTAAAGTTGGTTTTTGAATTTAACCAGTTGAGAATAGTTTAGTAAGTGATGGGATGGCATGGGTGTCAAGTAAGTATATTTGCTGACATGGTATATACATTGCTCACATGGCTAAGGTTACTTATTAATGAAATATTTTGTGGACTTAGGGCAAGCCGCCATTTTGTTATGGATAGACAAATATATCTAATCATTTTGATAATTTTGAAATTCGACAACAATTTTGTAATATTGATCATAATTTAATGATGGTATTAACCCGGGATAGAATTACGTTTTGAATTTCCAAGTAATGAGCCATTCTATCCATTAGTTACTTAGCTTAAAAATACTGAGTGAAGTGCCACCACAAAACCCTATAATCCCCTTGGCTAGTTTACAGTGGATGTTTCCTATCCATGTGAAGAGATCATTATGTAGTTTTTCTTTCTTCATACTAGAATCAATACCCACGGTTACACCGCCGCGAATAAACTTGCATCAAAATCATCCTTTAGAATCCATTTGTACCTAGTCTATCATACACTATATGTGTTCTCATAAACCAATCTCATTGGTTAAGTAAGATGGCATTTGAGATGTGAAAAATTGAAATAAACATGTTCTAAGATCGATGATAGGTGCGCAAAGAGAGAAGGAACTTAAAATAAAATAGAGACCATGTAATATCATGAAAGAAGAGAATTCTATCAACTTGACCCAAGGGGATTTGTTATGTGAATTAATGAAATAGATCACCAATATCTTCAAATAAAGTGACAAAGAGGTTATGAATTTAAATAATGATTAAACCGATTTGAACGACAAATTAGTCAAAGGACCTAACTTATCTCTTAGAACCAAGAAATGTGTTGAAACTCCATAAAATTTCCAACAATATGATATTTTGTAAGCAGACACTATTTGTAAACAATTAAGAGAGCAAAAACCTAAAAAACCAAAGGAGGAATTCTATTCCACAAACATATAGCTCAAACCGGAACCACGCCTACGAGGAATGAGGAAACTAAGAAAAAGGGAAATTTGTTTTTATCTTTGATCAATTGTTCCAAACAACCTCTACGAAGAAGCAACGCAAGAGGCTTTCCCCAGCTAGAGGAGCCATGACCAGACACAGAGTTCGTTTTTTCGGAAGCAACTGCTGACAACAAATTTCAATCATTGCAAGCTAGTAAGAGCCTGCAATCAAAGAACTGTGAATTGTCAAGTAATTTCAGCTGCAGTATCATTTGACACTCCTAGAGGCATAACAGCGGGAGTTCCTGACTTTAAAAAATGAGCAGGTTTACATTGAAGGGAAACGCAATTACTCCTAAGGATTGAGTTGATAAAAATCAAATACTCATAACCTAAGCGCTGGCCTTTTTAATTTCATTAGAGCAATTTTATCCACCGAAAGCTTTGCACTTTAAACCAAATACATAAGTAGCCACCATCCCCGACCATATCCCCTTAATCCCAAACTTGGATCCCAACCAATGACAGTTCCCAGTGGGAGTCCCACCTAAGCACAACTTCACGTCACTTGAAATTAACTAAAAAACTTAAACTTGCATTAAAGAGTTAAAACACCATTTTGACTCGATGGCAGAATGAAAGTTGCAAATGGAAACCCCCAAAAGCGCATATCTTAACCGTTTAGAGGTATCGGTTCAATTCACCTCAAAGCACTTCCAATGTGTATATAAATTTACAACTTAAAGCGTTAAAACGTAAGCTATTCACTGTTCGCAACAATTGAAAGGAAAAATTAAGTTTTGCCATAAGCTTAATTTCAGAAGCTATTTGAAAGTGCTTAGACTTCTACCTAGTTCATCTGACCGAATGCTTCCTACCTTCCAACCATTTTCGCTGCTCTGCTAGTTTGAAAATTCGTTCACTAAATCTCTTTTGAATTCTCCACTGCACCTACCGTCCAGCATTTGGCAGTTTAGTTGGTGCACTTTCATTGCTCAACGGACTTGAGTAAATTATTTGTCTCAACCATAATCTCTATAGTTAGTAACCATTGGATAAAATGAAAGACCCAACAATCGCAGCAGAAAACAGTACCTTCTGATTTCAGTTCATTCAGCTCGTACCCTCGCCAAGTCGCTATCCCTGATGGCAATGATAATCGACCATTTCATTCGGGCTGGATTTTCTTGTTATTCAGTCCACATGCTTAGTTTAAAGATCACTTCTAAGTATGAGGAAGAATATCACCTAAACTCCCATAGTATGGAAAGCTGCAAAATTTGGTGGGGGGGGGGGGGGGGTGGGGGAATCAGATTCAACAAAAATGGAAGAACATCAGTACCTATTCCTAGTGATAGAGTGGTGTTTAATATCAAATCTAACTTTGTGGTAATATACATTAGATAGGTGAAGAAGAGTTGGCTACGCTAACCTTGGGAACTTCCACTGTATGTCAAGAAATTGCAAGTGGTTTCTGCAGTATGGCATTGAGCATCTTGTGCTTAAAATGGTACTGATGTTGTGCATCATGGATGAGGAACACTCTCAATTAAATCAACCAAGTTTGCATAAGTAGGGACACCATTGCATACAAATCTTTTTGAACCATGGACTACCATACCTGTAAGCCTATTGGACAGAAAGCTATGAGGAGCTATTTTCGTGAATCTAGCTCTATCAACTGGAACCCCTTGCTCCCTGTACACCATTTATCTTCCATCAGGCATGTTTGGAGAGCTGATAGACAGGGATAGACACGTATCTTCCATCGGCTATTTGGTTCCTAGGACAGACTCAATTCACCTCTAAAGTCAGGGATTGGCTTTCTTAAAACCAATAAGGCTGAACCCAAAAGTAGGAGAAAGGCATTGTCCATCAACCTAGATCATACTCTATCTATTCATTCATGCCCTGACCCAATCTAAATCACTGATCTTGTACAAAATTGCACCGGAACAAAAAAAAAACCGTGTTTGCAGAGTGACTGATGGGTAACCAACCTCCTTGAATCGAATTATGTTAGTAAGCAAATTATGTTAGTTTGAGAAAGAGATGGATATAGAATGAGATGAGATGAGATAAGCGGTCAATAGAAAAAACAACAACAGAAGGAAAATGAGGTATCTGGATCCTCGGGTATGCTACCTGAAATTCATTTGACACTTGACAGTAGGAAGAGGCAGAGATAATAGAAGGCTTTTCGAATTTCACATTCTTGAAGGAGAGAAGGAACATAATAAGGCTGACATAGGAGCCATCACAAACCAATATTTGGCAACCTACAAACACAGTCAACGCAAATAAGGTGATAGTCACAAAGATTAGAAGTAAAAATAGAGTTGCATGGTACAAAAGAACGAAAAAACAAACAACCGAAAGATGCAAAGACAATTTGGACTTGTTGGGCAATGAATTGAAATCTCTAACAGGGAAATAAGCACTGGAGAAACTGGTGGATTTGACATGACTGAGACTCAAAGGCCAGGATGAGATGGAAGTTCTCCAACGATTTGGTGTAACTCACCGGGTCTCCACAGCGTACCATCCTCAAACTAGTGGTCAGGTGGAGGTCACCAACCGTGAGCTCAAAAGGATATTGGAGAAAACAGTCAGTCAATCAAGAAAGGACTGGGCAACAAAGCTCGACACTGCACTATGGGCTTACCGTACGGCGTACAAAACACCAATCGGCACCTCACCATATCGGTTGGTGTATGGCAAAGCCTGTCACCTCCCCGTTGAGTTGGAACACAAAGCTTACTGGGCGCTCAAATACCTCAACCTCGGCGGAGATGCTACCAAGGACCATCGTCAGGCCCAAATCAATGAGCTTGACGAAATGCGCCTACAAGCCTATGAAAACGCCAAGTTATACAAGGAACAAACGAAACGACTCCACGATTCCAAGATAAAGCAAGACAAAAACTTCCACGTTGGAGATCAAGTCTTGCTATACAACTCTCGTCTTCAATTGTTTCCTGGGAAGCTCAAGTCCAGATGGACCGGTCCTTATGTGATCACACAAGTGTTTCCCTACGGCGTTGCTAAAATTTCGCATCCCGAGAGGGGAACTTTCAAAGTCAACGGTCATCGTCTGAAACCATACCTCGGTGGCAATTTCGACCCCAATGCCGAGGCACTTCATCTTCAGAAACCTTGACAAAGTACACTACAGTCCAGCTAATACGACGTTAAAGAAGCGCTATTGGGAGGCAACCCAATGCTGGTTTGCATTTTTATTCCCTTTCTTTTTTACATTTCTTTGAGTTTTTCAATTTCAAGAATAAAAACCGTCACGAAACATCGACCAAAGAACTCGCCAAGTGGAACCACAATCACCGAACATCATGCCACTATATCCCATGACAAGGAAAATGGTAACAGAACAAAAAAAAAACCGTGTTTGCAGAGTGACTGATGGGTAACCAACCTCCTTGAATCGAATTATGTTAGTAAGCAAATTATGTTAGTTTGAGAAAGAGATGGATATGGAATGAGATGAGATGAGATAAGCGGTCAATAGAAAAAACAACAACAGAAGGAAAATGAGGTATCTGGATCCTCGGGTATGCTACCTGAAATTCATTTGACACTTGACAGTAGGAAGAGGCAGAGATAATAGAAGGCTTTTCGAATTTCACATTCTTGAAGGAGAGAAGGAACATAATAAGACTAACATAGGAGCTATCACAACCCAATATTTGGCAACCTACAAACACAGTCAACGCAAATAAGGTGATAGTCACAAAGATTAGAAGTAAAAATAGAGTTGCATGCTACAAAAGAACGAAAAAACAAACAACCGAAAGATGCAAAGACAATTTGGACTTGTTGGGCAATGAATTGAAATCTCTAACAGGGAAATAAGCACTGGAGAAACTGGTGGATTTGACATGACTGAGACTCAAAGGCCAGGATGAGATGGAAAGAGAAGAAAAACTAACCCAAATAACCCTTTGCATCACCTGAAGCTTCAATTCTGCAACCAGTAGTGTTGGCCTGCAAAATTGAGTACCAGAAGAAGCTGAATGCCAAAACCAAGCCAAAAATCTCAGACATGATTAAGGAATAGTTCCTAGCCTCTGAAACCGAGTCAATCCACACTAACCTCTGTAAGCGTACATGAAGGTTTGGGAATGATCAATGGAGGAAGGAATAAAGAGTTTTTAGATAGGAAACCGTGCTCGACGGTGAGAGGTTCAATATAGCTTCTCCTCCATCTGGCATAAAATTCCCCTTCTCCGGCGTCAGACTTCTTGATGGTTTATTCCCTTCGACGTAGCTCTCACTTCCTCTCGAGCGCGGCCAAGATCAGAGAGACAGAATTGAATCATAGGTGGAGATGAAGAAAGAAAGATTGAGGGAGAGGAGAGGAGAGGAGAGGAGAAATATTCCCTCGAAGAGTATGGGCAATAGCAGAAAATTCATGGGAGCTGGCGTGTTGGAGTAGGTGTGTAGAGGTCCTGAGAGGGAAGGGATTGCAGATTTTGGATCAGTCCTGAGAGGACAGAGAATGCAGAAAGTATGGCCGCAGTTGTGATGTGTGGGAGCATCCGCAAGGAACCGTCAACTCGGCAAAGCACCCCAGAGTGTTGAGATTACAGGAGATGATGTGGAACAGGTGAGTGGGTACAAAAACATGGTCTTCTAAAAGGGGGAATACCGTCTCGGTCGAGGGCGGGCAAAATTGACGAAGTTGGGGAAGCTCTATTCAGTCCCATTCAGAAGACGACAAATAATGAAACAGTAAGCAGCAAGTTTGGCGATAAAGTGTACCTACATTTCATATGGTGGCCAGTTTCTTTGATGGCAAACTATAAAACTATTTGAAGAGTTCCCTAACTAAATTTGACAATATAACCGTTGATGCATGAAGTGAAAGATATTAACACTCAAATCAATAAGCACACAACAGAATATGCAGCATACCTAATACATATTCAACATTGAAGAGTACCCCAAGGAAACCAATGATTGGATCAGAAACAGAAGCTTACATGGAACACGGGAAAATAAGCAAAAGTGTATAAAGAAAAATATACCAGTAATCTCAAAGGAATTAAAATGCCGAAAGAACACAAAACTGAGAAGTTAAAAGAATTAAAATGTTAAAAGAACACAAAACTTTCCATAAGCAAAATCACGTTGGAGAAGTGTCCACGACAGACCAACTCTCTTCCATTGAAAGATACTAATTACTACACACTGTTCCCTATTGCAGCTCCTAGTCTGCTTCTTTGACTCACATCCATCCACCAGTGACCTACAAAACCCAGAAGCATAGAAGCAATTAAAAGGAAATGAAATTGAGGGCTTCCAGTGAATCTAAAGAGCCGAGACGTGGATACAACTGAAAATAGCAAAGAGTACACTGTAACCTAGAATGCTTCCAGCTCAAGCCTTGCAGATTAGTGAAGAGAAAAACACAACGTTTAAGTATGAGAAACCTTAACTGCACAAAAACTCACCTTTCAATTAAGTGAAGAAAAGTTAAGAAGCAAGGATCAAACACTCTCACACAAATTTATCCTTGAACTGTAAAAATGAACACTTCAGGTTGAACATACCGTGGTAATGAAACTTCAGAGGCAACAACAAACACCCTCACAAAATCCAAACTATGTCAGCCGAGACTCGCCTTGGTAGCTTATAAATCTCATGGTCATCAAGGGCTGCCAGGATTCAGGTGTTCTTTTCCACCAAAATCCACATATGATGTGCAAGTGTGCCCAACGACTTGTGCTATAATATCCTCAATTTTTTTCCTTCGAAACCTGCAAACAAATTTCGAGTATACCGTAAACTATCCCCTAGAGTAGAGATCCCACAAAGAAGCTAACGAATAAAAGAATACAGGTCATGCAGCAGGAGGATTCACACTTCGACGGGCAACATCTGTGCAATCAACCCTGCTTCCGAGCTAGCTGCAAAAACACCTCATATCCAACCTCCTCCCTCGACTTCTACTATTGCCTCAGGTGATGAGTAGACACTTTTTCTCGATTGAAGGGTTCATCTATCTTCCTACAACTGGAAAAAGCGAGAAAAAAATGTCATTTATAAACCAACAGTATAAAAAAGAACATAACAAAGCAAGAGAATGAGTCACCAAAATGAAATGTTCACCTTTCTCCCTTTCGTCGCTTGCCTAGTCTCGTTAGGTCCTTTTTGTTGCTTCAACTCCCTCCCACCTTTCTCTTTCTCATACTATAGCCACAAGTTATACAAAAACAGTCTTGATAATGAAACAACTAACTATGAAGCTGAGCAAAAAAGCATAAAAGAAAATAAACTTACTTTTTCAAACTACCAAACTAAGAGACATCATCCCACATACTCTACTTTTACAAATAATTATTGTTTTGATGATCCAATACAATGTTCAGCATCTAGTCAATCTGTTACGCAGAACCGATCAAAGAGATGAGAAATCATAGTCTTAGGCCGTAGGAAATTGCAGTAATGAGGCTGAATTAAAGCATTATATACCATAATCGAAGCTTACATCCTCGACTGCAAAACCTAAATGGCCAAATCTAGTCCCAGTCATATGATAACACCTAAATTATACATATATTCGCCTACACTTTTACATCCTAAAATAACATAAATTGTACCAAGTTCATTCGATTTCCCGATTTTATGCTTGGTTTTGTGTTGGAGTCATGTTTCAGGGTATTCTATCCAATAAGAACGGAATAATGAGTCTATTCAACAAAAAGATGGTTAGGGTTCGAAATCTGGCGTCGGTGGAACTCGAGCCCGCGACGTCCCAGGCGAGGGCAAAGAGCCGTACCACTCCGGCCGCGTTCCCTTTTGTTATCAATATACGAAACCCATCGCGTATTATGGTGATGAATCAATGAAAGATAGCTGAAGCTAATAACTCACGTCAAATGGAAGAAGCAAGCAGGTCCATTATTCGGAAAGCAAGCAGCTGCATCGACGTCCTAAGCTAGCAGCTCCTCCTCCCTTGCATTCGTAGCTGAAGCTAGTCACGTTAAGCCGGAGCAAGCTACCAGGTCAATTTAATGGAAGCAAGCTGGAGAATTAAATGGTTAGCTGCTTTCAAATAATGGACGTGCTTGCTTTCAGTTATGGACGAGCTATAATGGACGTGGTTGCTTCATTATTTGGAGAAGCAAGCACGTCCAAATAATGAAGCAAGCACGTCCATTATAGCTCGTCCATAACTGAAAGCAAGCTCGTCCAAATAATGAAGCAAGCACGTCCATTATAGCTCGTCCAAATAATGAAGCAAGCACGTCCATTATAGCTCGTCCATAACTGAAAGCAAGCTCGTCCATAACTGAAAGCAAGCACGTCCATTATAGCTCGTCCATAACTGAAAGCAAGCACGTCCATTATTTGAAAGCAAGTAGCTGCCTCGTCCATGAATGAAAGCAAGCACGTCCATTATTTGAAAGCAAGTAGCTGCCTCCATGAATGAAAGCAAGCAGCTGGCCATTGAAAGCAAGCAGCTGGCCATTATCAAAGCGGTTGAGAGACAAGCAAGCAGCTCAAGCAAGCAGCTCAAGCAAGTAGCTCAATTTGTACTATAAATAGAGGGAGAGGACACTAGACAATGGACACACTACTGCTATATTTTGTTCTCCCTTTCTTGTATTTGAAGTTAGCCGAAACTCTGTCGATTTTCATTCCAAACTCTCGTTACTTCTTTTTCATTTCGTTAATCATATCTCGTATTTCATCCATCGTGGTTCTTATGTTTGTGTTCGTATTTGGGAATACCGTGGTATATTGCGTTATTGAGATTACCGAAGTGAGCTTCTATTCTGTGGGGTTATGATAATCATTTGTGGTGGTAGATTGGTCGGTTTCCACCGTCTTCGCCCAACGATTATTCCCCCGTCGGAAGTTTGCTAGGTGTAATCTATTAACTCAATATACATACCGTATTCTCAACCCCTCCGTCTTTGTCGTCGTCATCATCATGGTAATGTTCTCAACCTTCATCTTTCTAAATCTCATCATGTCCGGCTAATCTTCTAGTTGTTCCGGATTTGATGAACCCTAATATGTTTTACATTGATTGAGTGGTATCTTTGATATAGACGTGTTGTTCTCTTTCTTACGATCTTTTCTCGACTTATCATGTGCAAGTATCAATAGTACGCGTCTATTGTATATTTTTTCTGATACATGTAAATGAGACTGCGAGGTAATTTTGCATGTTAGATCCCTCGTGAAAAGAAGGAATTGATCGGAGCCACCGGCGATGGGGTCACGTAGTTCCTCCGGATTAGGTTAAAAACCTTGTACGAAAATTCATAAATCTGGT